TACTAACGACATTCCAACTGCTAGACCAGCCCACAACTTCAGTGCCTCAACTCAGGAGACATTGGTTACTTAAAAATCAAAATCAGCAGGTGCTATTTGTTGGCAAACCACCCTTCACGTGGCCAAGCTGGAAGCTTCTCCAAAGAGACCAAGGGGACCCTAGTGTCATGGACATGTTGGGTCAAGAAAGGATGCAGCGTTCCTCACACAGTCTGGTGAAGCGTGGGTCAAGACTCAGGAACCACTCAGACCCTACTCTTGAGCCCTGAGCCAGCGCAGATGGTCCAACTGCCTAGGGCTCTTTTTTCTTTGTGGGAATAAACATAGAAAATGGGACACAAAAATGATGTCAGTTATTATGCAAGTTGGATCAAAATGAACCCAGAACCCACCACTTGGTGATGTTTCTAGTGTCACTCTGGACTTTCCTGTACCACTCCCCAGGCAAGGGGCCCTGAACTGTAATGCGTGGAGAAATCAGTGGAACACAAGCGAGCAAGCGTGTGTTTCTCACTGTTCTTGGCAGTGGATGTTATATGGCCAGCTGTTGAACCCATGCTTTAATTTCCCCACCATGATGGACCAGAGCCTGGCACTGTAAGCTGAATAAACCCCTTTCCCCTAAGTTGCTTTTAGTAAAGTACTTTATCACAGAACAGAAATGAAATTAGACAGATATATAGCTATATCATCCAGCACCGGTTATAAAACAATATAATTCACAAATAGCGTCATTTCTGTAAGAAAATAATTTCTAGTTTAAAACAGCTGGTTGGTAAAGATAATGTGTTTATAGTAGAAAAAAAGATTTAAGCCCAGAATCATCTCACACATATTTAAATCACCTCACCAGAAATTGTCACTGCTGAAATGTTGTTATACTCAGCACTATTCGCTGGTGAAATTTTGTGAGAGAGTCTTACATGACATCCCCTCACCAGTAAAGCCATTAAAAAAACTGAAGTGGTGTTTTATATTGACTTTTTCATTGGCGTACAGGGTGAGGTGTCCCCTGTGACACTTTCATACATATGTATCATCACGCCTTGTTCCTATACATCCTCCACTGATCCCCCCTTCCTCTCCTGGCTGGTCCCTTTTACCCCCAAATAGCCCCTTCTCCTTCTCCTCCTCTCAAATCATATATATTTCATCACCATATCATGCATTCCCTGCCTTTAGCTCTCTCCCTCTCACAGTCCCATGTTTTGTAGAGAGACATATACACTCATGCACATGCAAATATATATTTAGGTCTAGATTGCACAAATGTCAGAAACTACACAACATCAATCTGACTCTGGCTTATTTTACTTTCCACAATGATCTCCAGTTTCTTCAGTGTTCCTGCAAATATAATTTCATTCGTTACAGCTGAATAAAATTCCACTGTGAGTATATTACCATATTTTCTGTTGAGGGACTGGAGAGATGGCTCTGCGGTTAAGAGCATTGGCTGCTCTTGCAGAGGACCTGGGTTCGAGACCCAGTACCCACATGGCAGATAACAACTGTCCATAACTCCAGTTCCAGGGGATCTGACACCTGCTTATGACCTCTGCAGGCATTGCACAACATGGGTGCCCTTACACACACGCAGGCAATACACTCATACACGTAAAATTAAAATAATAAATAAAATGCTTATAAAAACCATTTTCTGTTGATTGGTATCTAGGGTGATACCATGGCCTGACTGTGATTATTGCGGAAATAAATGTGAATGTGTAAATATCTGTGTGGTATGCTGACTTACCATTGCTGGGCACATCACCCAGTCAATCGCCAATCACCTGAATTCCTGTAAGCTGTTGTTGACTCAGGTGAGGTGGGGGATGTAGTCTTCTCAGCAGCCTTGAACAGCCCAGAGACAGATATAGAGAAGCAGCACACAGATGTCGTCAGCCCAATCAGAGTGATGTGGTGGGTGTGCTAGCGCACAGCAGGTGGAAAAGCACAGAGGACCCGTCCCAGGAACAGTTACAAGTGATGCCTCAGAGGTGGACCCCACTCCAGCTTATTTGTAACACACCTGGAACAGACCCTCAGGAGATGTCACAAACACTGGGGTCCTAGTCACATACCTTAGGTCCAATTACTGTCCTATGTTCTGGAGACACCATATGTGAACATCTGCCTGTCTTTGAACACGGCATGCACAGGCCCCATGGCCAGTGAGCATACAGGCAGAAACAACCAGTGAACTCACTTTCCAGGACAGCCAGCCACTCCTGGGAGTTGGTATAAAATAACTGTGATCCTTCACACCATAGCAAGACTGCAAGGTTCATGAGTTAAGGTAGCTTTCACAATTCCCTTGTGGAATTAGATCCAAGGCCCCCACACTGGGAGCTGGGACCTTTTAACCGTGGTCTTCTCCTTCCTCTCACTCCCCGCCCAGCTACTCAGGGGTTCCCTTCATCTTCCAAATAACCTACTCATACCCAAATCCTATTGCTCAGGGCTGCTAATATGTGTGTCACAAATAAACTAGTTGAGGGACTAGAGAGATGGCTCTGCGGTTAAGAGCATTGGCTGCTCTTGCAGAGGACCTGGGTTCGATTCCCAGTACCCACATGGCAGATAACAACTGTCCATAACTCCAGTTCCAGGGGATCTGACACCTGCTTATGACCTCTGCAGGCATTGCACAACATGGGTGCCCTTACACACACGCAGGCAATACACTCATACACGTAAAATTAAAATAATAAATAAAATGCTTATAAAAACCATTTTCTGTTGATTGGTATCTAGGGTGATACCATGGCCTGACTGTGATTATTGCGGAAATAAATGTGAATGTGTAAATATCTGTGTGGTATGCTGACTTACCATTGCTGGGCACATCACCCAGTCAATCGCCAATCACCTGAATTCCTGTAAGCTGTTGTTGACTCAGGTGAGGTGGGGGATGTAGTCTTCTCAGCAGCCTTGAACAGCCCAGAGACAGATATAGAGAAGCAGCACACAGATGTCGTCAGCCCAATCAGAGTGATGTGGTGGGTGTGCTAGCGCACAGCAGGTGGAAAAGCACAGAGGACCCGTCCCAGGAACAGTTACAAGTGATGCCTCAGAGGTGGACCCCACTCCAGCTTATTTGTAACACACCTGGAACAGACCCTCAGGAGATGTCACAAACACTGGGGTCCTAGTCACATACCTTAGGTCCAATTACTGTCCTATGTTCTGGAGACACCATATGTGAACATCTGCCTGTCTTTGAACACGGCATGCACAGGCCCCATGGCCAGTGAGCATACAGGCAGAAACAACCAGTGAGCTCACTTTCCAGGACAGCCAGCCACTCCTGGGAGTTGGTGTAAAATAACTGTGATCCTTCACACCATAGCAAGGGAGTGAAGCCTGTGCTGGGGTTAGAAAGCTTTGTCTAGGATCTGAGATTTAACTTTTCAAATGCATGGAAGACTCCAGCTTTCAACCCCAATAGCAATGGTTTCAGTGATCATTAATGACATGAAAACAGTGGGCTTTGCCTATGTTCTCATCCCTGGAGCTGCTGCCTAGGGATGGGAGACAGACATTGAAGATACTGAAACTGTGTTATAGGTTCAATTGTGTCTCCTACCAAGAAAATAAGTTAATATTTGTAAACACGATGGTTGCAGATGTCATGAGTTAGAATGAGGTCACACAGGAGGATGGTAGGAACCTAATCCAGTGTGGCTGGTGTCCTTATGAGATGATGGTCATGTGAAGACAGAGACACATAGGGAAAAGCCCTGATCACAAGGACAGAGGCTGCCAGGATGAGGCTGCAAAGCGGATGGCTGCCCAGGGTTGCAACAACAATGAAAAGTAGGAAAAGGCAAGGAGGGAGTCTCCCCTCTGCGTGGTACAGCACACAGCTCTGCCTTCCCTTCCTTTAGACTTCCAGACCCCCCACCGTGAGGGCTGTTGACATAGCCACAAAGCCTTCAGTTCCTCCAAAGCTGCTCTGACTTTCAGCTGCTATCTAATCCGAAGATAAAGATGAACTAAAGCCCTTAGCATCAGGGACCCTGAAGCCCTAACTTCCCCAAGATCTTCAAAATGACCAACAGAGCTCTCCTTGACCCACAGCATTTAAATCCCACACAATTAACACTGACCCAAAGTTCCATTCCCCTTGTTTCTAAAATAATGCACCCACTCTGAGATCTTAAACATTTCCTTTGAGAATCCAGCAGGCATCCTAAGAATGGTCCTTATGGCCACTACCTCCCTTTACCTCCCAGGTTCCACTGTTCACTGTTCTCCCGACAGATCAACTGCCCAATCCACCCCCAATCTTGTATAAAACAGTTCTAATCACACTTGAGACCCTACCTAAGTTCTACCATCAACACCTATCAGGGTAGAGGTGTTTTGGCCAACAAATCCACTTTCATACCCAGTGGGAATTTTGTTTTGAAAAGATGCATTTGTTTGTTTTGGTGTGTGTGTGTGTGAGAGAGAGAGAGAGAGAGACAGACAGACAGACAGACAGACAGACAGACAGAGACAGACAGAGACAGAGAGCGGGACAGAGACAGAGACAGACAGAAGCAGAGACAGAGATGGAGAGAGATATGAAAGGGGAAAAGTATTAGTAGACAGAAAACGAAGAGAAGAACAGACCTTATAACTTTGTCTGGGAAACTACAGAGAAAGAGTGGAGAGGCCGGGACCCATCCCCACAGGCACTGAGGGTGAGAACAGCTCAGTCCTGGGTCAGGAGCACCGGAGTGAGGTCGGAGGCTGAGGCTCTAGGGCCAGCCCTCTCCTGAGCCTGGAGGACTCCAGCCCCGCTCGGTGCGCACCTGGCCCTGGTGTGCTAGTGCAACTGGACCTTCCACAAAGGATGCTCTCTGGCTCCTCTGGTCTCCGACACACTGTCCCGTGGGGTTCTCTGTCCCTTCCAGCAAAGCCAAAGGGCGGTGTCCTCACCCTGCGCTCTTAGTCTAGGGAGAACTCTGACGATGAGTGTTACAGAAACCAGACGGCCAAGAACGCCAAACCACAACACATTCAATACACTTTATTAAAAAGTTTCTTTGTATAAATTTCCTAAAAATTTTAAAATTAAATCCCACCTCCACACTCCAAAAAACAAAAACAGAAAAAAACCCACAACGTTAGAGGAATGCCAAAAATATTCTCTATTGGGACTTTCGTTGGTCCCCACGGCGCGCAGAGCAAGGGTCGCCGCCTCCCTTCCCACCGCACCGCTCGTCGGAGGACGAAGAAGAACACTGCTGGAAGCCTCATCCGGGACCTGGGAGGGGTGCGAAGGGGGCTCTCGGGGGGTGGCTCTGTCCGAGCCACACGACTACAGGAGAGGTACGCAGAGCAGCGTGGCAGAGAAGCTACTTCCTAGACATGCTTCGCTGAGAATTCAGCTCATAGGGATGTTCACGTAAGCACCAGCCGTGGCTATTACTGCAACGTTCCAAGCACAGAGACTGAGGGTCCACAGACACGTTTAGCACCATATCGACAGGTCACGCGCAGACGGCTTCCTCCCGAGGTTGAGTGTCAATCAAGCATGAAAAGGCACCGTGCCAGGTTGTCTACCCGGAGCTTCTATAAAAACAGTTGGGAACGGCTGCCTCGTTCTTCTCCCAGAGGTACGTGTTGCCGGAACGCTGTGCTTAGGTTTGGGTCATGCTGATGACTCTGGGTATGTCCAGCATAGAGTGTGGAGGGAGGGAAGGGGCAGGGAAGAAGAAAGAGGGGGTTAAAGGACAGTGTTTACCATGACATGCTCCCACAGCCTCTGGTCCTTCCCTCCCCGGTGGCTCCTGGAACTTTCTTGGCTTCAGGTTTGGCAATCGGGGCCTATCCTGGGTGGAACCCCCACCTCTACCACCCCTGTCCCTACCCCAGGCTGTTATGCGATGGCATGCTCCGTTCTCCCCCCAGGCCCTATGCCAAGCTGCTCTTATTTCCTGATCAACTGAGTTGCCTGATGTAGTAGACATACTGGATGATCCCCTGTCAGCATTGTTACTTACAAGAAGAATAGATATTTAAGGATTAAATATATGAGTATATTTATCTTTAGTTTTTTCTGTAAATAGTCGTTTTTCTATTCTTCTAATAATCATGCATGGTATGACATTTTTAAAAAAATGAGGATGTGGAAAAATTTTTCAAGTGTTTAGCAGTGTGCTTCCTCACCGGCAAAAATACAAGTATGCTTTTCGGTAACAAACAATCACTCAAAAAATTAATTTCACGTGGGACTTTTTGTAAAACTTAAATTTTGAGACAAGGTCTCACTATGTAGCCCCAGCTGGCCTGGAACTTACCATTTAGAAAATCTCAGAGCTCTGCCTGCCTCTGCCTCCCAAGTGCTGGGACTAAAGGGGTGTACTACCACACCTACCTTTATTTCTTTTTAATATACTTCATTTGAACATTTTTTATTTGTTTATTTTTCTGTTTTTTGAGACAGGTTCTCACTACGCAGCCCTGGCTGTCCTAGACCTCTCTATGTGCATCAAACTGGCTTTGGTCTCACAGCGCTCTGCCTACCTCTGCCTCCTGAGTGCTGGAATTAAGGGCGTGTGCCACCATGCCTGGCTTTATTTGAATACGATTTCCTCTGTATACAATTTCTCCTCTGAATACAATTTCTCTCTTTTTTTCAGATGTATCAAAATCTTGTAATTCAAATATTTCTCAATGATGAGGTTATTAACTTGGATCTCTTATCTTATTTAAATAGAAAACAAAACAAAAAACCCACAAAGCGTGACCACTTACCAGGACTGCAAACTTTTTTACATTCTTCCTGTGACTTAAATCTGTTTTCATTCCCCCCGCAGCCTCCGTACCAGAATCTCATGCAGCTTTGGGCCAGGGAATCATAATACCAGAAAAGTTTATATCCATCACAAGTTCCAACTTCTTTGGGCAACTTACAAATATCTATAATATCAAGAACAGAAAAGAACATCATTCAGAACATGTAGCCCCCTAACTCCACCCTGAGGCCAGTGGACTGAGAGCGATTCTAAAATAGAGAGGGGCATCCTGGTGGAAAGGTTTTAACCTGCCTGACCCTCTGTTCCTCACTATCATAGAGACATCACTAATCACTCTCAGGTCTACAAGGAATAAACAAAATTATACCCCACAAAGACTTGACAAACTCAACCCAGAATCTCAAACCTCAGCTATCATCAAATAACTGAAAAGAATTCCCATTTTCCCCTTATTCTGGGCCATTTGCTCTTCAATTCTTTCTATCCTAAGTGCCCTAAAAAGAAACTGACCTGATAAGTCCATGGACTTGTCTGCTTCTTGATAAAATGGCATTAAATTCTACCAAAATGTGCTTCAGAAAGGTTATACACTCACTTTACAAAAGCAGATTGAAAGTTAAGATAGAAGGACAATAGATATTTTTAAAGATTTATTACTTATTTGTGAGAGGGAGAGAGAGAGAGAGAGAGAGAGAGAGAGAGAGAGAGAGAGAGAGAGAGGAGAGAGGAGGAGATGAGAGAGACAAGGACAGGACAGGACGGAGAGGGAGAGAGAGACACTATGTGTACAGCTGCCCAGAAAAGCCAGAAGGGGGCATCAGATTCCTGGAGCTGGAGTTACAGGTGGTTATGAGCGATCAGACATGGCTTCTGGGAGCTGAACTCTGATTTTCAGCAAGAGCAGCAAGTGCTCTTGATCCCTGGGCCATCTCTCCAGGCCATATCCCAAGGCCAATAGCAAATTGAAATATCCCAAGCAATAGCAAAGCCTGTGGTGTGAGAGACCAAGACGCCTTTTCCAGTCAAGGACATTCACATTTTCAATGCACACTTCTGATGCAGCCCAGCCACCATGTGACCCTAAGGTCCACATGATGCCTTCAGAGGGGCATTTACAGTTCCCACACAGCTAAGTTGTATGCAGAGCTTTCTGGCAAACTCTAGACTGTGCTGGGAAAGATGCATGTTTCTCAAGTGTTATCTGAAAGTCTGAAAATCTAAACCTTTCTACTAAAACCCCGGAGCAGATAATGCTGTGTGTTTGTGTGACTAGCTGCCAGCCTGAATCATCCAGCTTTCCCCTACCCCGCCCCACACAAAGGGTCACTTCTGTTTAACGCTGTGTCAGCCACAAATGATCGCTGTGCAAGTGATCACTGTACAAGTTATCACTGTGTTTAGTGCTTCCTTGAGCACAGGCAAGGGGGGAGGGTGGGAAGTATTCACACTGCAATGGGAAATACGTTCCTCACCCGCTTTGTGGTTTTACAAACAGGAGAACTGGACCACCTTGGGTCCCAGCTGCCGGTCCCAGGACTGATGCACAGTCCTTCCAAACCTAGGAGGCAGGCACTACTCTCTGAAGTGAAAAGACTTCCCGTGTCTACAAGGATCTGGGGGCCTATGTTTGCTTTAGTTTCCCGTGTAATTGTGACTGCGTTCTGGTCCTTCCTGTCAGTGTGTGTCAGTCACACTCTGTAATCTGATGAGTCCTTTTCTGACACAGAGACAAACAGCCTTGAAGATTGCCAAGGAAAACAATTGTACTTACTCAACTTGTGGGATTTAGTTCTTTCAAATGCTACTGGCATAAAGTCAGATCACCCCATTATAACATCTTATGCTAATCAATTATATAATAATCAATTATATATGTACATGGGTACCAAATGCTGTTTACCATCTAATCCTTCTAAAAATTTTTCTAATAAAATTTACATTTTTTATTTTTAATTATATGTAAACATGTGTGTCTGCATGTAGGTATGTGCCATGTGCATGCAGATTCCTTCCAGAAGCCAGAAACATGGAACCCCCCAGGGTCCAGAGCTACAGGTAGTCGGGAGCAGCCCAATGTGGTTGATGGGAATTGAACTCAGCTCCTCTTCAAGAGCAGTATCTGTTCTTAACTTCCCAGCCACCTCTCCAACCCCATTTTACTTTCTATTCTGCCAAGTAATACAAAACAGTGCCGATAAAGCATGACCTGTCATCAACTGTCAGTTAATAAAGCATGACCTGTCATCAACTGTCAGTTAGTATTTTAGTGTTAGGAGTATTACAATGGGAAGAAAAAGATAGGAACAAATTAACAGCCAATGGTAGTGCCCAGCAACAGCAAAGCCTGTGGTTGGAACGTGCCGGGCACACTCAACCCCTCAATGCTTTCTTAAGTCTGTCATAATGAAAGATTCATTCAATTGCTGATAACTGCCCTTTACAGGCAATACAATAAACATACTACTTAAAAGTGGCTGTCTTATAATATTTTAAGAAGTGAAGAAAGTAATACGTGGAGTGAGAGTTTTAAGGAAGGTTTGTTTTTGCCTTATTTTAAAAAATACAAATGTTAACTGCTTCAAAAAGAATAATGTAATATTTCAAAGTCTAGAATTTCAAACAGCAAGTAACTAAGATGCTATAGGTCTGCTGGTGGAATCAAGCTTCACCTCCAGGCAAGGTCTTTTGGCAGCACCATCCTTTACCAAAGGGAAAGACCTTAGATGGGGGACAGAGTCAGTGTGAGTGTTGTATTCCCACCATGAGAAGGATTCACCTGTATCAAACTCTCCATAGCTTTGATAGAAAGGTGAGTGTCAATTTAAAAAAAAAAAAAAGCAAAAGCAAAATCTTTTCTCTTTATAGCACAGTAAGAGTCTGTACTTTCCAAATCTAGATGGGAAACGCTTTCCTAAGTCTGAATCTCGCAACTGTACATTTAGAACAGAGCAGCCTAACCCCCAATCGTGTTTAGAGATTAGGTGGTTTACATTAACTAAATACTGTTTACATATTCTAGTCCTTCTGGGCCACACACAAAGGGACCAAAAAAAATCCCCCAATCTTGCCGTCTAGGAGTTACTCCAAGTCATCTTCTCAATGAAGCAAGAATTTGCTACACGTCCCTTTATATTTTCCGCTAAAACAGGCAAAATCGGCTAGTAAGGAAATGGAACTCGGACTTCTGTCCCTTTGAAGTGTTTGCGGGTCTGCCCTGACCAGTAGCTTTTCTTTACTTTCCAAAAACTTGACTTATTATTTTGTGTGTGGGGGGTGCATTCGATGGGGTGGGGGTGGAGGTAGCTGAGAGGAAAACTTGGTAGAGTTCTCTCCTTCCGTCTTTGTGTGGGTTCTAAAGATCAAAATCAGACTCAGGCTCACATGGCAAGTGCTTTTCCCCTCTGAGCGACCGCATTCTCTTATGACCAGTTCTGGAAAGGAAGCTCCAGCCACAGAGACATGACTTCCCTTTGAAATCAGTCCTTGTATTGGGGAATCCTTGGTCAGGCAGCTTAGGAACATACTGGAGCAAGTTGTGAGTTACAAGGCAGAACGAACTGGGCAGGGGACAAAGATCTATCTGGCATCCATCATTGTGGGCCTCAGGAACTGCTTATGAGTAGAATCAAGGCTGTGAAGACTCATGTTCTCTCCTCCCACCAGCCATCCCTCGCTGTGCATGCCTACTTCAATTTTCCAATTTGAGTTTAAATCATAGAATTACAATTTTTCTAACATTGCAAAGGCAGGGTCTCTCTGTGTTTGCTGCGATTGTGACTTCCTCAGTGCCAAGGAGCCAGGCCTCCCTCCCGCTAAATGAGAGGCTGCAGGGCTCTTGGACTAGCACTGCCCAGAAACATTTGTGAGTGGTACCTGCCCATTCCCAAATCGTGTCTCGCCCATCACTAATGGGCACCACAATCTGGGGCTCAGGTATCCAGGAGAGTGATGAACAAGATCAAGCCAGAATGTAGTGCAGAGAACCAGGACAGGCACACCCCGTGGGGCATATCCAAACACATGTGTTCTGTGGGCTCTGATCTGGTTGCCTTGTGTTTCCTAAGCAGTTTCTAATTAGATGAACTCAGTGAGTGGGGGAAACCCTATTCTTTGTGGCACCACAGACCACAAATCAACCCTGGTCTCAGTGTGAGGAAGTAACACGGGGTTATATGCAGGCTACCCACAGCCTCAGAGGCAGCTCCACCCAGAGTCCAAGATTCCTCCCATGCAGATTGAGATGGTAGGAGTCGACTGGAAGCCCCTTTGGAAAGTCCAGCATAGAAGCTGGGAATTAGTCCCAGGCAGGAGACCTAGACTTCAAAAGCTTTGCAGTTCTTGGGAGAATGTTTTCTGGGGTCTATTAATGGACCTGATATTACAGAACTCACCTGTTTGAGTGAGAGCCAATGGTTCTGTGTTCACCATTAGATTGATGGTTGAGCCAGATGCTGACCGTGGAGACTGTAGAAGTAGAGGCTGAGTTTTCTCTATAAGAAAAAATAGAAGAAGAAGGTGAATTGAAAACCAAAGGGCTGAGGAGCCTTCGGGTACAGCCTGCCTTTCCTGATTAATTTCTTACATAATGGGATGTCACTGCGACAGAGATCCAAGAAGTTTGTATGCACTATCTACGACAATACATGGGTCGGATCCATCTGTTAACAAATGGAAGAAGCCCTTGAATTCCCATCCTGCGGTGGGATGGGTGCTGGGCTGATGGGTGCTGGCTTCCTCCTCTTCCCTAGAGTATCAGGGCCAAGAAGAAGGGGAACAGGACTCAGAACAACTCGGAAAGGAGAAGGGACCACGGGACTGAGAAAGGACTGAGAAGGGCTGGAAAAGCAGGCGGGCATGGTGGCGCATGGCCGTAGTCCCAGATAATTGGAAGCTGAGCAGGAGGATCACTTGAATCCAAGCATTCTGGGACAGCCTGAGCAGCACGGTGAGACCCTGTTTCTAAAATAAAAGGAAAGTAGGGGGCCAAAAGGCCGCAGAATTTGAAGGCAGGCCTCAGAGAGCCTGTATTTGGGGCCCAGGGAGGGAGATGCTGCTGTCCTCCCTTACGGCTTCAGACACCTCATGACCTCTGCACAGCAAGAGCTATCAGCCTCCACTGCTTCCTAAGGAGCCAGAGACCCACTGGTCCCTTCCTCATGATTATGGAAATGGGCAGGTAGCGGTGGCAGCAGAGGACCACCCCCCCCCATGCTCTTTCCCCTGCTAGGGTTCAACTCCTGTTTCCCCAGGAGTTGCCTTGGATGGACTGTGCTAAAGCCCAACAAATCTGGTATCCCCCATGAAGTAGCCCGGGACCCAAGGTCCAGAGTGCATCACACACGCAACGCTGCCTTCCATGCTATCGTACTTTCGGTTTGCCCTGTTTGGTGGAAATCGAGAACCAAGTGTTCTCACATCAATGGTGTACTTACTTGTACTGAAACTTCCTTGGTAAATGGCCCTGACTTGAGACTGCAGGTAGGAGACCACTGCCACGTGGTACGTCTGTCCAGCCAGAAGGCCCCCGATGACTCGGTCAGTGACCGTGAGGTTCTGTCTCAGAACCAAGGACTTGTCTTGAGCTGAGGTAACAGTGAGGTCGTAAAAATAAGAACTAGGGGGCTCGGGCCTCTCCCAGTGGAGTCTGGCACTGTTCTCTGTGACGTCAGATACCTGGACTTCTCGAGACGCCCTCACTGAAAGATCAGAGCAGGGTGCAGAGTTAAAAAATAAAACTCCACAGCTGGGACACAGCAGGGTAAAGAGATCTGAAAGAGCCATCAGCGGACACTGCCAGCACACGTGGCATGTAGCCTTATAGTAACAAAATCCTCCTTATTCATCAGCAAGCTACATAAAGACTAATTTATGTTCTCTATCAAGAGGCTCCTGTTAAGAAGATACTTTGAAATGCAAGGTCCAGATAATAAGTGAAGTGTGTAATACAAAACAAGTTCTAGAATTTCAAATATACGAGACCATGATGTTTTAGGGTCAAAGTATTTTAAAGGGATCTCTGATCTCGCTCAGCTCATGACGTGAAGACGACTCTCACCTTTTTGTGAGCTGTACTCTGCCCTATTCCTTTACCATCTGTGGCATCCCTATAGCATCTTCTACCATGTCCCGTGAAGGAAAGGTACCACTCCCTGGGTCTCCTCACCCTCCTCATTCACTAATAAAGTCAGGATTATGTTTTTCCCAGGTCAGAATGAGCGTGCTAGTCAGAAATTGGAAATCCAAGGGCTGAGGAACCTTCAGCCACAGATACAAGCTTTCCTTTCCTGATTAATTTCTTATGTAATGTATGTCACTGCAACAGAGGCACAAGAACTTACGGTAACACAGAGGTCAGAACCATCTGTTAAGCAAATGGAAGAAGCCCTTGAATTCCCATCCTGGGGTGGGATCCTTCTTTGGACTTCCATAGTGATGGGACTCACTCAGGGCTGCTGGCAGAAATTCCTTTTCTCAAACATGATTCCACCATCGGAATCATGATGGACTGAAGAGATGCTTCCCCATTCCCTAGAGTTACTGAACTAACCCCTGACACTGCTATGGACCTCAGTGTACAACTCCCTTTCTATAGTCATGTGGCCTTGTGGAACAGAACAAGTTTGTGACTACCAAGGATCCCATTTAGACCTTCCCAGGTCTGCCTGGAACGAAGGCAGCTCTAGCTCCAGAGAATAGGCAAAGCGACATGTGCTTTGCTGCCTAAACACAGCACCAACAACAGGCTTCTGTTGTTCTCTCTCTCTCTCACTGCCTATTAGGAGATCCCAACTCACAGCCCACAGGCCATATGTGGCCCAGGATAGCTATTGCTCCCCCCCACCAAAATCATAAGCTTACTTAAATATCAAGAAAATTAGGAGGTGTAACTCAATTTCATCCTTTTTTGTAATTTATTTATTATTTTTAATTTTATGTGTATGAGTATATTGCCTATATGTGTGTAAGTGCACCCATGTCGTGCAATGCCCACAGAGGTCAGAAGAGGGCATTGAATCCCCTGGAACTAGAGTTATACATGTTTGTTGGCCACCATGTGGGTGCTGAGAATTAAACCCAGGTCCTCTGCAAGAACAGCCAGTGCTCTAACCGCTGAACCATCCCTCCAGCCCTGATTCTGTGTTTCTTGAGCATGAACTTTGTAGATAACGATGTCATACAGCAATGTCAACCTTAGGCTTGGTTCCACCTAGACCTTGGAATGCAGTTTAATTTCCAAGGGAGGAAACTGCACACCCTTCCCATCTCACAGCAGGCGTGGTAGAGCAGGGCTGGCAGGACAGGAAGGAGCTACCTTCGTACAGACCTCACCAGCCTCACAGGGCTGTAAGGAGGAAGAATGCCTTCTAACACAGAGAAAAGCAAAAGCCCTGCGTGGACAATCCTATGCTGTACCTAGCAGCTTCTAAAATATACCATTCAGGGAAGTCAAGGTCAGACAAACAGCCATATTCCGACTGCTCTGTATACTGGATTCCAGGACATGTCCTTAGGGAGATACATGAGGGCATCAAAAGTGTAGCTCTAACCATACTTTCTTACCCATGGACTTAGCAGTGGCTGGTTTGGTGACAGCTGCTCTGGCCTGTGGCCTGGAGGCCTCTGGCTTGGTGGCAATTGTTTTAGCTACAGCAGCAGGCGGTCTCGCGGCTGCTGGCTTTGCTGCCACTGCAGGTCTGGCTGTGGCTGGGTTGGTGGCCACAGGCTTGGCAGCCACAGGCTTGGTGGCAGCAACTGGCTTTGCCACAACTGGCTTGGCAGGAGCTGGTTGAGCTGGGGCTGGCTTCACAGGGACTGGTTGAGCTGGGGCTGGCTTGGCAGGAGCTGGCTGGGCTGGGGCTGGCTTGGCAGGAGCTGGCTGGCCACTGCAGGTCTGGCTGTGGCTGGGTTGGTGGCCACAGGCTTGGCAGCCACAGGCTTGGTGGCAGCAACTGGCTTTGCCACAACTGGCTTGGCAGGAGCTGGTTGAGCTGGGGCTGGCTTCACAGGGACTGGTTGAGCTGGGGCTGGCTTGGCAGGAGCTGGCTGGGCTGGGGCTGGCTTCATAGGGGCTGGTTGAGCTGGGGCTGGCTTAGCAGGTGGCAAATTTACAATTGCTGTTGGCTTAGTTGTCGTCACTGGCTTCATTGTGGTCACTACTTTGGTTGTATAACTTGAAGTAGCATTATTTAGAGTGTTTCTGTTAAAAAAATGAGGCAAAGACTTGAAGTGACATTATTTGAGGTATTTCTGTTAGAAACAAACTATGTCCTATCTTTACCCATACTTTTGCATGCTGTATAAAAGAAACAGTCATAATTCTATGAGCTATGGGAAATTTGCTTATTTACCAAAATCGGAGACTAGTTTCTATAGATTGTGTGTAATATTGCATATACCAATTTCTTATTTTTAGAATCTGTGCCACTAAAAAGATATTGGACAACACGTGAAAACAGAATCATTCAAAGTGCTTATGCTGCACTATGAGCACATCTAGCATCATATTTTCCACTGATAAGAAAAGGCAGAAAGTAAAAGGGTGAATAAATATTTAACAATGTTGTAATTTAAACAAGTAACTGAAACATGGCTATCAAAATCAGCACTATTTGTTTTCACTATTAGAAGGTATCCACTCACTGGGTGAGGTGGCTCCTGTCTGTAACCCTAGCACACTGGAAGGATGGGACAGGAGGATTGCCATGAGCTTGACACCAGCCTGAGCTACCAAGTAAGTCTGGGTTAGCATGGGCTACACAGAAGACTATGTCTCAAAAAGTCAAAAAGAAAGGAGGAGGAAGGGGGGAAGAAGGGGAGGAGGAGGAACAGGGAAGAAGGGGGAGAAGGGGAGAAGGAGGAGGAAGGAACGATGATGAAGAAGAGAGAGAAAGGAAGAGAAAGCATTCAACAAAACGCCAAGTTGAGCTGGAAAATTGTAAAGTCAGCATATACTATTTTGAGTTATTGCTGGAAATGTGTACATTTTTGTTTGTGTTTTTAAATGTATATGGCTTTAAAAAATAATGTATTGGTTTATTATGAATCCTTCCAATGAACAACATCAAATGACATGCAGCACAGACCCAGACTTTGTTCCTGCTTTTAGATGGAAATTCAGTTAATTTACATGTTGCATCATGCTACGTGCAATACACAGCATATTTTCAATCTGATATTATAAAACTTGAAATGATAAGCTACTTGGTTCATTATATTTTCCTAAAGATAAGAGTTGGCCAACTTTAGACGCTATTCCAGAGAAATAATGAAGTCAGTTAAAAGCTAGAAAAGAATGAGCCTATGACTATCTCTAGATGGACCGGGGCCAGTGTCACAGTGTCACAGCAGAGACAGGTCAGCACAGTCCTCGGCTCTCAACTCTGTCACTCGTCTTCCTAGTAGAATACACACATTGCCTCTGCTGTTGCCCCAGTCAAGTTATCCACAAACACAGAAGAAGATACGGGACTCACTCCTTATACATCTAATCCTTCTTTATGAAAATCCTTTCACACTAGGCCTGAATGCCATCTGCCTTCTCCCCGCCCATGTCCTATGTAATGAGATACAGAAGACCCTCCACTCCAGTCTACCTCTCTACCCATAAATCCAGGCTGGCCTTTGGACATACCGTGGCCAGTAAAATGTGGCACAAAGTAACAATGTGCCAGGTCTGGCTTAGGTCTCAAGACCCCTTATACTTTATCCTTTTTTCCTTCAGGAAACCTGGTCAATTTGTGAGCAAGCCCAGGCTAACCCACTGGAAAATGAGAGACCATGTAGCTCAGAGATGAATTTTCCCATCTAAGACCAGGCTAGACCAGCCTGTCCACAGCTCAGAAACAAATGGTTACATACATAACAGAGGCCAGTACAGAGCAGAATTGCCCAGCTGAGCCCAATCAGAAATTTCTAAACCCCCAGAATCATAAACTATTCTTGTTTTAAGTTGCTACTTTCTAGGTAGCTTGCTAGACTGAAGCTAACCAATACAAAAGAATGTTTAAGAATAATTTGTGTTGCTGTAGGGAAGTCATATTCTCCACATTTCAGTGTCCTTATGCATGAACCTCGGGATTGGTTGGAGGACTAGGAATTTCCTCATCCAATAATTATAATCACTTACACTTGTTTGTGACCAAACTTCATCCCACTCTTTGTTGGTTGGTCCCCTTGGAACCAATCACACTGTTTCCTGATATCTGGAGGTAAGTAAAAAGCATTTTCACCTAGAGAAAAAAGGAGAAAAAAGTTGAACTTTGTGTCAATCAGATGGAAATTAAAATCGGTGTGATAATGTGTTCATTACATAAGTATTTGGGTAATTAGATTAAAGATAATATGTACTCAGTGTAAGGGCGTAGACCAGAGTAGAAAAAAGTCAAGTAAGGGGCTGCAAAGATGGTTCAGAGGTTAAGAGCACTGACTGCTCTTACAGAGGACCTAGGTTCGATTCCCAGCACCCACGTGGTGGCTAACAACATCCGTAACTCCAGTTCCAGGGGAATTCAATGCTCTCTTCTGACCTCTGCCAGCAAGGTAAGCACTGGTACACTCACCTGATCTACCTACAGACAATACACTTATACACATAAAAATAAAAATAATAAATAAAATATTTTTAAAAGTCAAATGAAGAGTTTAACAAGTTCCAGGCACTATCAAATTATAATCCAATCCCATTTAGTATTTTCTCAATACTTGGTTGAACAACATGCCGTTATTTAATCTTCTGAAGACAGAAGCTAGGTCCCCAGGTGAGCCTGAGGCCTGCCTTTGCTTCACATTTTCCCCTGAATCTTTTGGGGGACAGGCCTTCATAAATGTTTGTCGCACTCAGTTATGTGCAAAATGATTATTCAATGTGGGCATGCTTTGCTTACATTTTCCCATTTGTTTGGTATGTGGCCTGTATTAATTCACAGTGCACTATGTCAGGGCCTGGGAGATACAATGAGCTCTTTGTCCCAAAGGAAGACACAGGCTCCAGGGACTGTGAACCTACACAGGAGTGATGAATAGGCCACACAACTGGTGCCCTAAGTCGAGCATCCCAGAGTGGGAGCTATTGGAAGGTGGTTTTCAATATGAATGTACAGTTGTTGCTAAGACAGTAGGGGATGGAATTCTAGGGAGAGTCCCAATGGCAGATACCCAGAGGAACTAAGTGTGGCTTTGGTTGCTAAGCCCAAACCAGTGTAACCCCTTCTAGAAGCTTTCTTCAATGCCTCTGACAGGATACAGAGGATACTTCTTTCTGGCACGCCAGCATATTGTATCATACATTGTCGACGTGTGCTTGATCCATTTACCATCGGTGATCTCTTTGGAACTCTTCCAGTGTCGTATGGCTAGGAAAGTGAGTGGATGATGACAGGAAGTGCGGTCTGTGTGTTCCCTATGACTCCGGCTCCTAACACAGGCCACGGGGCAGGCAGGCATCAATATATATTTATCGAATGAATGGACAGGCTCACATCAGTATATAGATGTGCTTTCTGTGACTGATCTCCCATCCTTGTGACTGAGGGCAAAGGCCAGAATAAAGCCATAACTAGGACACAGGTGTGTGGTGCAGGACTTACTGCTGACAAAGGATGGCAGCAGCCTCCCGAAGCGCATCAAAGGTTCCTCGTTGAGCTCAGTTGACTTATCCACTAGTTTGAAGAAGACGTCATTGGGCTCACTGGCAAAGTTGTAAACTTCCTTGACATTCACCTTCCTGCCGATACCCAGGACCACGAAGAAGTATCCCTTGCATTTGGCCTGTAGGATGGCCCTCCGAGCCTCCTCCAGCTGCTGCCTCTGCATCTCACCGGTCAGCATCAGCACCACAATCTTGAGGTCCCGCGGGTTTGGTGCACTTTCAAACACGTTCTCTATGGTGTATTCAATGGCATTGCCCAGGGCCATGGTGCCCTGCAGCTGGGTCATCCTCCTGCTGAGGAAATCCAACAGCTTTTCCTTGGCACCATAGTCTGTCAGGGAGAATTCCACCCTCACAGGCGGCACACTGGCATTGTCCACAGACTCATAGGTTGCCTGCTGCACCACAGCCACTCTGGCAAAGTGCTGGGAGGCCCTGGGGTCAGGGCTGAGGTCCAGCTGCTTAACAAGGTAGCCTATGTACTTCTTCATCTCGTTGAACTGGAACAGAGTGGTGGCCTCCGAGCCGTCCAAGATGAAGGCCAGGTCGATGTCCACATCACTGCCTGCTGCCCTCCGGTCCCTGAAGGAAGGTCTCCAGCTCCCAAATCCACAGGATGGGTCGATGTTGCAGATGTCTAGAGAGAAGCACAGCAGTCTGTTATCTTGTGATCCTTGCAGCAGCCCCATCTGCTGGGAGTCAGGTAACTAAAACTGTGCCATGAGGTAGAAACCTAGCCAGGTGGGATGAATCCCAGCACGCAGGAGGCTGAGGCAGAAAAATCACGAGTTTGGGGCCAGTCTGGGCAGTGTAGTGAGACCATGGCCTACTGCCTAAATTGTGGCCAGATTTCAGTTTTTGTTACCTGTTCAGTTTTGTTACACTAGGCAAAACCTATCAACAAACTAAAATCTCTGTAGTGCACCATGACAGCACATTTAAAGACGCAAAGGGAGATGTACATTCCTACCAGTTTGCTATTCTTTAAAGGAATATATTTAAAAAGTTATCCTAGTCAAACATTTGGGCTCCAGCTTCCAAGGTGAGAACTCGGGTGGATCTGCCTTCTCCTCTGTTGCCTATGACACAGTCATTCCTCTATAAAGAAGGAATGTTTGAAGAGGGCACTTCAGCAGAGAAATTCTATTTGTGGCCTTACATGGGTAAAGATGATAAGCTTTATACAAGTCTTCATTTAACTCACGCTCTTTAGCTAGACCAGGAGTAGCTGTGGCTGGACAGATCCCTGCACACAGATGAGCAACTTACCCAAGCAAACGTGGCAGGTGAGGACGTTCTTCAGGAAGTCTGTGAGGTCCCCCGTTGCAGGCAGGACAAGGGCGTGGCCCACTGCGGTGTTATTGATCTGGTTTAAACAGAGGGAAATGCTGGGATGGGTGCGTGCATGATAAAGAACCATTTGAAGATATGATACGGTGCAGAAATTGGACAGAGAGAAATCCAGGACAGAGAGGGAGGTGAAGCAGCTGTGATGGGGGCGGGGGATGAGGCCAAGGACACCTGATTCAGATCATGGGATCTTTTCTGCCCATTGTACGTACTGTCCAAGTGTCCTGAATAGGACCATCAGAAGTAGCCTAAAGGAAGGTTATAACAGCTAAATACGCAGGTGAGAACAGGCTGTGTTCTGTCTGTATCCTGGGAGTCTAGCTAGGAAAGGTTTGCACAGTGGTGAGGGTACATGTTTGGGGGAACTCACTGAGGGGCTGTAGGCCCTCATGGCTAGACTGGAAGGGTCTCCTCTAGGGTTGCTTGAGGACAGAGTGGGTTGGACTGTACCCTGTACATGGGCCTCAGAGTCTTGTGGCTGAGGGGCTCCTCCTCACTTGAGACCCTCACTGATAGGAGGATCTCACCCGGAAGATGGGATTGAAAGCATCAAGCTCAACAAGGTGTTAAAGGAAGTAAACGCCCAGGACCAGGTCACGCACAGCTTATCTGGGGAAGAGCTTGAACCGTGCCTCTCCACTGAGAGCAGAACCCATCCACACCAACATCTCCACTTGGCCAGTGAGGACACAGAGACCTTGTAAGAGAACTGAGCCAGCCCCACCCCACCAGGACCTTTCAGAAGCCTTGGGACATGAAGCCACCATGAAGAACACGGTGTTCCTGGACATCGTCTCAGGGACAAGAGAGGAAGAGGCTACAAACGCACAGGGCCCAGACCTGCAAAGCGTTGATGAGCTGCCGGTCCTCCTGACTGGTAAGAAACAAGGGTGTGATCCCTGCATCTGAAAGCTTGAGCACAGCGTCTCGGAGCTGGGGCGTTGCTCCTGTGAGCTTATTGCTGAAGAAAACGGCTACTTTCCTCATCAGGAAGCCGTTCCTCACGCGCTTGAATGTGTTTCTGGCCACAAAGGACATTGCAGTCTCCAGACTCTGCTGCTTAGATGTCAGGGCCACCTGGAGATTCCGGATACTGTCCAGGAGGGCAGACTTCTTCCTAGAGTCAGCAAACCGGATCTCTGTGGTCACTTCATTGTTATAGGTGACCACGGCCACTCGGGCCCCCCTTGGACAGTTGCTCTCTGCAATGGTCAGGTCGCCTACAATCTTCAGAAGTACATCTCGCATCCGGCTGAAGGTGTCCTGGGTGACCCCCTCAGAGGTGTCCAGGGCAAAGGCAAGCTCCGTGGGGAAGACAGGGCACTCCAGGGGCCCTGTGGAAAACGGGAGTTTCAGAGATAAGCGCTAATCACTATAAAGCATCTTCCTCTCCTCCTCGGAAGGTAAAACTACCAAAACCCACTCACCATAGCAGCAAGCTGTAAGGGACACAAAGGAAAGAGAGATGAAAACCAGATCCGTCACGCGAGGATTTTGAATGCAAAACATGATGTGCCGCAGACAAGGAACAGCAAATACTTACGGCATTTGTCTTTGATGCTTTGGATGAGGGCGCATTGCTTTGAAAGGAAACGGGAGAGTGTTAAAGACAGCAGCTAACAGGCAGGTAAGACAACAGTTCACTCTGAACACTCACTACTTACATCAACAGAGTCGCCTCGGTTGCCCTTGTGACCCTGTAAACCAACCAAGAAAAGGCTGAGAGATGCAGCTCTGTGGGCTGCGGCGTTAGAGGGGAAGGGGTGGGGGATGGGCGGTAAACACAATCGATCTGTGATATATCCACGTGTGGAAATGTCACAGTGAATACCATGAACATGTGTTAATAATGATAAGAAAAGGAAAAAGCCACTCTTTGGCCACAGAAAATGATGGAAGGAAGGGACATTAGATAACCTTGAGCTATCACAGCCCTCCTTCTAAACTTGACTCCATCCCTGGAGAAGCAAAAGAGAGACATCTTTGAGAACAAAGTGTTTCCCCTAGGAAGTGAGCTGGCTTTGAAGAGGCTCCACACCCATCATGCCTAGAAGCTTGTTGCCCATCCATGTAAATCATGTATTGAACCACAGCCACCTGGGCCCCCTTTGGACAGTCGTTCTAGGCAGTGGACACAGCTTCTCCTGGGTGAGGCGCTTTCTGTGGTCTGCCTGGTCTGTACAGCCTGGCCCCTCAGAAGCCATCGTGAGGAACCACCACGTTGTTCCCTCCAAGTCAGAAGCACCTCATCTCTGTAGTCTACCCCCAAGCTCCGGGGAAGGTTATGGGTTTTGTCCCAATGTCTTGCTGACCTGCTGGTCATTCATCTCATGGTCCACTTGGCCATATTTCCCTGCAGCTGGTCACCTGCAGTAACTGGCTTAATAGCCCACTAAGTGCTTCTCTCCCTCCATCCATGGACTCGGTCGGTCTTCCTCCCTCTGGTTCAACCAACCCAACCCCTCAAACTTTCACTCTCAGAATGGTAAGCCAACTCCTGATTTTATCTTGTCCATTCTTCCTTGAACTTCACAAAGTCAAATAAGGAGGCAGTGACATCGGTTACAAAGAGCCCTGGACCCCATCAGGGCAGATGGGTTTTAGACCATGACTCAGCAGCTCCCTTGAGGCCTTTATAGACCAGAGGATGTATTCTGCAAACCCAGATCTGACCTAGTTTTCTGCTTCCACAAAATGCAAGTAAGAGGCAGTGAAACTCCCTCTCTGATTTCTCCTCTGGACAAACCAATAGTGGGAAATTATAAAGGAAAATCATACCATTCCCTAGGCCACACAGTGGTATATAAAAAGATTTGTTTGGCTGAGGGTGTAGCTCAGTGGTAAAGTACTTGCCTACCATGTATGAGGACTTGGGTTCAATTACCAGTACCACAGAAAAGCTGCTATTTTCTTCATTTGTTTGTTTTATAGTGCTAGAGATCAACTCTGAGACCCTGTCCACGGCAAGTGCATGCCCGGTGACGATGGAGCTACATTATGACCCTCCCAAGATGTTTTCAAAGCGTCTTGTTACTCTAAAACTCAAAAGAACTTTTGCCCTTTGTGGTATCAAAAGAGAAGAAGTCTGATAAACCCGTGAGAAGAGAAATCCCACAAACTTTTCTTGAGGAAAGGAGATGGTGGGAAGTTTTCAGGATCATGTGTAAAGCATCCAACCTTCTTCTCTCCACCCCTGTGACTGGTTGGGTACTTACAGATGGCCCCGGGTAGCCAGGATCACCCTTCTGTCCAAGTATTCCTGGAGGTCCTGAGTTTCCCTAGAGGGGGCAGAACATGGAGCATTTCAGCTTCTGCACCTGGAAGTGGGGGTACAGGGGATCCATCGCCTCCCCCGTCACCATGAGAAATCCCTCACTTTAGTGGCATTCAGTTATTTCTGAAATTCAGGTATAGAGACAAAAAGCTTCTACGAGTCTCCTCTCTGAGTGCCCCAGCAGGCGGAGGTTAGTAGATGCCCTAACTGGTCAGCAAGGTTACTTCTGAACGCCCAAGAATATTGGGAAGTGGCAATGAATTAGATAGCTGTTCGTGCACATCATTGGTCTATTGTTTCTAATTGATCTAGCTTGCCTGCCTTCCTTCATCAAATTAACAGGAAAATTATTGTTAACTGTATTTCAGACTAAAAGCAACCATCAGTAGCATTTGTCCATATCTGCACCCTGATATAATTTGGGATTCAGTTCAGTCTTAGGAAGGTAAATGAGCAACTGTAAAGAGAAAAGTTGTTAAAGACAGAGGGGTCCCATCAGTCAGAGAGAGGAGCCCAGGCCTGGCTCACCTAGGACACGAGAGCCCTCCCAAGCAGCTCATTAAAACCTCCCCTTCACTGTCCTAGTCCTGCCAGATGGAACTGTGCAGATTCTGACTCCGGCCAGCCTGGGACCTGAGCCTCACTGTCACTGGGCTGGGGTAACCTGTGTACTAGTGGCTCTTGGGGCATGCTGGAAGAGGGGCTTTTAGGGCCTCCCCACATGGGGCATGACTGAAGGAGGATAACATAGGCCACAAGCACACTGGGCTGTGAAGACCCGGTCTGGGGTTCACTGTTCCCTTTCTTCTACTTTGTGCTGTGACTGGTGAGGTTGAAAAAGAAGGGAGGTGCCTCGTAAAGCCTCAGAAGCCTGTCACGCTGCCATGAGCCTGCTCACTCCCACCCGCAGCAAGCTTCGGGGAACTTACCCTTCGGCCTCTGACACCTTTGGGTCCTGGCGGTCCATCTGCTCCCGGTCCACCAGGGGTACCCTGGGAAGAGAGCCAAGAAGTTGCACATCAAGGTCTAGAACAGAAGGTCCAGCTGGGGGGTCACCAGGGCAGGCCTCCAATGGGGCGTCTGGACCACACTTTCCAAATGGTTAACAGTCATTTCTGCAGAGGGTTCTAGCATACTGGGTTTGCTTCATTAGTACTGCTGCTGTTGTGCATGACCTTGAGATTTCTTCCACTGCTGTCCTGCTCTGTGATCACAAGCCATGAGCAGCAGTGGCCTCCACCGATACAAGGGAGAGCATCTTAGTACCAGGACCGTCCCAGTGCGGCTCATTGGTAAGTGGTTCACCCAAGACTAAAGCCAAGGTAGTCTATCTGGCTTCAGCTCAAGGGAAACCCAGGCTTGCCTAGAAACAGTGAGGATATTATGTCACCTGAGACATATTTACCTTTGGTCCTGGGTACCCAGGGAATCCTCTTTCTCCCTGTAAAAGATAATAATTTAACAACTCAGTATTGAGTCCCAACTTAAAACCATCTAAAACAGATTTGTTTACAAGATGTTACAAGCTGGGGCTAGAGAGATAGCTCGTGGTTAAGAGCACTGGCTGCTCTTGCAGGGGACCCGGGTTCAATTCCCAGCATTCACATGGCAGCTAAGAACCATCCTAAATCCAGTTCCAGGAGATCCAACACCCTCTTTTGACCTCCACAGGCACTGTACAACATGGGTACTTACACACATGTAGACAATACATTCATACACATAAAAGGGGCTAGAGAGATAGCTCGTGGTTAAGAGCACTGGCTGCTCTTGCAGGGGACCCGGGTTCAATTCCCAGCATTCACATGGCAGCTAAGAACCATCCTAAATCCAGTTCCAGGAGATCCAACACCCTCTTTTGACCTCCACAGGCACTGTACAACATGGGTACTTACACACATGTAGACAATACATTCATACACATAAAAATAAAATAAAATATTTTTTTAAATAAAAGATATAACAAGCCATCCTTGGAGACTCCCAGAATTTCCAGAAGCTTCTGCAGGTACTTACTTTTTTGCCTCTGCGACCTTCACTGCCAATTCCATCTCGCCCGTCATCTCCCTAAGGGCAGAAGAGAGAATGTTACCATAGACTGCCCTACTGGGCACCTCACAACCACCACGTCACCCTGTTGCTGCCCTGAGCAGAGGAGAGCACCTGAAGCATTTCCAGACCAAGGAACAAGAGCCAGAGCCTCCCATTCCAATATGCCATCACTGCAGATGTGAGCGAGGCCCTGTCTGGAGAGACCCTCGGTTCCAAGACCTCAACCTCTCAGACCTCCTGAGTCCTCAGTCTTCTGCCCCCTGAGCTCTTGCTGTCCTGGAACTGGCCTGCCACCTGACCCAGACAGTCCTCCTCCAAGCACCCCAGCCTGTACCCTCAGACCTGTCGCCATAACCCTCATGTGGGGCATTCAAAACAAACACTGTTAAATACTCCAGAAGAGGAGGAATGTGTTGCAAATACAGGTCAGTATTTTAAAGCTTAGGGATTAGAGCAGTCTGGTGCCTGGTCCTTTTACCGAGTTTTCAGAAATAGTGACTCATTTTAGGAAAATTTCCAACAGCCTGTAGGTTTCTTTTTCCTACATAACACTGAGGTTGCAAAAGTGTTTCTCTGGAGTAGCTGAGGGGTCTTAAACAACATTTCCAAAATGAGCCATCAAGGTAATAATTCCAATTCCTAAAATGGGTCTTGCAAAACTGTTTCCATCTGAGCCGAGACCTCATCCAGTCCAGTTTCACAGCTCAAGGATATTTACCTCTTTGCAGAAAAGCTCTTCTTGTCAACGGGGGCAAGACAGGAAACAGGAAGGCTCTTCAAGGTTTGGTAAACCTCCACACTGACTCCCAGGAAACAAACTAAAATATCCTTACCCACCCCACCTCCTCTGCCAATGAGATAAACCTCATTGTGAAGCTGTTCCTCGGAGCGTTGCGCTGTGTCTAATCTTATTCCCCATAACACAAAAAGCAAAACTCAGGCATCTCCAAGCCCGGCTTCCTGCCCCCGTCAGCACAATCTGTGAGCCCAGCAGAGCACCGGATGGCCTCACCGTCTCCCCACGGGGTCCGCGGTTCCCGACGCCTCCCTTAGGCCCTGGCTGTCCTGGCTCACCCTACACAGAGGAAGCAAGGAGAAAGGCTGTGAGCGGAGGCTGGCTCTCAGGGACCCCAGCCGGCTGCCGCACTTGTGGTGTCGGGGGCGGTGTCATGAGAGGGGTGCCTTGTACTTCATCTTTTATGTCTCCATGACATCATCTTTTAGTTGTAATCAGCCAGACACAGAAAGACAAGTGCCACGTGCTGTCCACCCCAGGAAACTAAGGCAACTTGGCCACAACAGAAAACCATGGTTAGCAGGGGCTCGGAGGGGTGGGGGACAGATGGAGGCTGCGTAAGAGATACCAGGGTGCAGTGAGATGGGAGGGGAATGTTCTAAGGGATGCATGAGATGCTATAGCTTACAACAGTTCATCGCATTTGAAGGGTCCCAACACAAAAAAATTCATTTCTCTGACCTGCTTATTAACCATTATATATGTGTGTCAGAGTATCACACTGTAGCCTGTAAATAAGGACAGTTATGTGTTAGAATATTAGATGTACATATTTGTTGTTTTGGACAGGATTTCACTATGTAGCCCAGGTTAGCCTCAAACTTGCAACAATTCTGCCTCAGGTTTCCGAGTGCCATGATTTCAGGCACGAACCACCACATGTGGCCACACATCTGTCTTTTAAGTGTAACATTCGTGTGTGGACAGTGAGGAAAACAGGAGAGGTTGGAGCTTGTTACTTCCATGGCATGGGAACAGGTTGATAAAAGCAGTTCTCACTGTTATCCTCTGGGTGGGACCAGGATCTCTCAGGTGATCTCAAGGGTGACAGGCCTGCTGGGTGTATGCTGTGCACATTTATAGACCACTCGCCTCATAACACTGTAACTGTGCAGAGCTCTGCCCTACCACCCTGGGGCTCAGAGGACACCTCTGTCAGCAGTGGCTCCAATAACCCATCAGCACATAGAGGGGCTGGAATGGGATGAAGCCAGTCCAGTAAGTAGGGACAGTGTCAAGGACAGTGTTATCCCCATGGGGACGCTGAGTAGGACCAGAAGCAGCAGGAAAGGGACTTGAAAACTAAGTTGGGAGGCAGAAGGATAAATGAGGTAGTGGGGTCTTTGTGGCTCTGTCCTCTGCAAAGCTCTCCCAATCTCCAGACAAACCTTCCTCCCCAGGGGACCAATTCTTCCGCGTTCTCCAGGAGCCCCAGCAGTGCCTCCACTTCCCTGCAAGGCAAGGAGAGAGAGGTGCACATGAGGCATTCGGTTGTCCAAGCCAAGGGTCTCTGGATCCCGGCTCTATCCTGTGCAGAAGTCACAACCTAACACATACTAACATGCGAGGCTCCCAACCAGGCAAGCCCCGGCCGTGTGTGATTTCACCCTGGAAGAGTGGCCGATGCAGACAGGTTCATAAACACCTGGGCAGTGAACAAACAAATGAAGGAAAGACAGCAATTCACCGTAGGCGTGGCCTACACCGCCCAGGGACGCTCAAAAACATATGGAAAAACACAAATGCCTCTGGGGCTATTGGTGTATAAGCCAAACAGCTGTGAGCCCACATCATCTTAAATTCTTGGCTCACTCCAAGTTAAATGTTTAGAATGTAAAAACCTTAAAAGTGGATTTTTACCAAGGTGAAGAAGAACTTCCCGGATCAACAGCAGCTTTGCAAAGGCCCTCACTTTCCCTGAACTGCATTCAGGCGGTGACAGATCCGCTCGCCCCCAGTTTGCGAGTCACTGTGACCCGTAACAAGTGGCAAGATAGCCCTCTCCGTGTCATCGCAGACCCAGAGTGGATCATTCCCGTGCCTGAGCCTAGTGTAGCTGGTAGCTGAGACATGTCTGAGGCCGTCACACCTACAGAATGCTATGGGCAGTGAACTTGGGATGGTGAACTCCTGATACAAAATGTAGAGCCGTCCCCTAGCCAGGAGCTGTCTCCAGGGGCCCAATAGGAAGTGGGTTGCATAATCTAAGACTGTGAGTGACTACCTCATAGTGTACAGCTGCGCCCTCACACTTGAGAGATGAGGCACGTCCCACCCCTGCCCCCGTCCCCGCCCAGATGTGCCTTTGGAACGAGAACTGGTACTTCGAAGTCACTAGAGCACCAAGAAGTGGGGTCTTTCATTTCCTTAGGATTAAGTAGCTAGTCACCAGGAGGCTGGGTGGGGTCCAGGGGCACATCCGTGGGTGGCACATCTTCCACGTAGTAGCCCCAGCCTGTATGGGTGTGTGACAATGGTTAAGTAAAGAGAGGACACACTGAGGTGGACTTACCCGAGGTCCAGAAATGCCTTGTTCCCCAATCAGGCCTGGAGGGCCAGTGGGACCAGGTGGGCCCTGAGGAGTAAAAGGTCATAAGGTCATGGTTACAGGGGAGTGATGTTGAGTCTCTGCAAGGGTTCCCTGAATGAAATCTATTCACAGTAGCCAAAAGGTGGCGAATACTTGAGTGTCTGGTAACCAATGTCCTGTATCTATACAATGGAATATTATTCAGCCATTAAAAGGAATTAAATTCTGACATATGAGACAGCATTACTGAACTTCAAAAAATTAGACTGAATGAAAGAAGTCAAAGGTGAATGACCACCTATGAAGTGGTTCCAGTGGGAAATGGCCAGAATAGGCAAATCTATGAAGACAGAAAGACCAGGGTTTGCCAGAGGCACTGGTGCAGAGTGCTAGGGAGTGGTGCCTCCTTTGAGGTTAATAAAAATGCTGTGAAATCATTACACAGCACTGAGTGTTACTCTACAAGGGCCAGTTCTGTGTTCTATGACCATCACCTCAACTTAAAATAAAATAACAGGGTATCCGGGGAAACACCTAGCAAGGCATGCATCCCGCAGGGCCACTGACCTGTGCGCCTCTAGTTCCCTGCTCTCCCTGGAAGCCTGGCTGGCCAGGACTGCCTCTGTTGCCCTTGGACACGAGAGAAGAAACAGGGAGGGATCAGGAAGGTTACACTATCAGCTCTTTTACCATAGTCAGCTCTGATGGAGAAGGGTTGGGGAGAACACAGCTCTGCCCATCACAAACACCAGACACGGTTGGGGCGAGACACTGCGCCCAGGGCAGCTGCTGTCTCTCCGAGCCTGCGTCACAAGACAGTTTTGAGAAATGATGACATCTTAGACTTAAACCTGTCTGGCACAGGTGAGAGGGCCAGACACATGGGCACTCCACAGAAGACAGCTGCCCAGCACCCCACCTGTTCAGCCATTTCCCTTCCCTCCACCCACTCTGGGAATCACTTCAAACGTCTTCTGTTGTGGAAGAGGCTGGGTTTGAAACAATGACAGAAAAGAGGGCAGAGGTTCATTGAGGCTGGGCAGCTACCGTCTGAGGAGAAATGACTTAGGGCCCCGCTGACTTGTGTCGAGCAATCTCCTGAGAGCCTGGGTGACCGACAGACAAAACATGTACCAACCCGGGTGCTCACCTTCGCTCCCGCAGGTCCCCTTCGGCCAAAGCCACCCTGTGGAAGGAGTCACACAACTGTGAGGGGGAGACAGGGACTCTGCGCCTTCACACACACACACACACACACACACACACACACACACACACACACATTCATTGTGTTATATACTCCACCAACAACAGCCGTCACACACACACACACACACACACACACACACACACACACACACATTCATTGTGGTATATACTCCACAATGGACACCAGCCCTGGTGTCTAGGAGGCCTGAGAAACTCATACCTCACCCTCCTCCTCCCGCACCTCAGACAGGCTTCCATGCTGTGCCTGCTAGTGACTGCACTGGAAGTTTGAGACTCACTTGCCACCGGCCAAGGAAAATAATGCCTTCTGGCTGCAGAGCCCCAGCAAGTTCCCAGCGAGGAATTCGAAGCGGGAATGTGAACCTGCCCAAATGCTCTAACCTAGAGAGCAGCACTGGAAATTGTTTATTGCGGTGGAAGGGAGTCCCAGGTTTTCAAACTCTCCTCGCCAAACACAACAGAAGTTGCCCCAGTGCACACGTGGACCTCAAAGTCAGGCTTGCATCAGGCAGTGGGTTCCTAGATGTTCCAGAGGTGAGCCTTAGTGCAAGCACATGGACTCCCTGTATAAGCACCCAGGAGTCCCTACCTCCTGACTGCTTTCCAGGGGCGGGTTGGGGGAGGAGGACCTGTGGATGTGCTGGGCTGTCTTTGCAAGGCCACAGAGCCTGGGTGTGCTGAACCCAGACTTGGTTAACCTAGGAGCTGTGTTCCTCACCTACAGGGGACCAGCCCAGCCATCTGCAGTGGCTACTCGGTCATCACTCACTGTAGTGCCTGCCTCCTTCCACGGATCAGTGTGGGTGTGAGGCTCCTGTCCTGCACAGAGTAACAGCCAGGTCCTGCTCCTTCCAAGGAGAAGTGCTAGAGTTCTATCACGCTCAGTACATCATGGGTCAATGGCAGCCCACAGAGGCTTTCAGAGTCCTCTAGACACATGGAGAGACACAATGCATCCTGGCCTGTTTGAGGACGTTCTGTCCTCATCCTGCTCCAGATTTGCCATGTTCTGTCTCCTGCCTCTAGTGAGCCTTTACACTGAGATTAAGGAGCCCAGAACTCCATGCTGAGTTTCTACCTTGTACGTGGTATTGAACATCATCCTGGGCATTGCTGTGCTTAAATTTATCTCAGAACACCAAGTGTTGGGTCTGTGTGGACTGACTCATAAACACTTCACTGCGAGTGAAGGGCATCATTCTACAATCATTTCCAAATCTTCACGGGCAGGGCACAGGTGTGTGTGTGCGTGCACATGTGTCTACAAGCATGTGGAGGCCACACTGGATATTGGATCCTTAAGACCCATTCACCTTGCATTTTGAGCAGGGTCTCTCATGGGAACCCACACAGTGGGTGTGCTGTTCAGGCTAGCACAGCTGGGCAGCGGCCCCAGCAATCCCCCTGTCTCTGCCTCATCAGCACTGGATTACAATCGCGTAGCTCCACACTCTGATTTTTATTTGGGTGCTGGGGATGGACTCAGGTCCTCATGCTGTGTGTGACAAGCACTTTGCCAACTGACCAGCTTCTCAGTCCACTGTTCTAACTCGTTGACAGTTTGAATTTTTTTTCTTGTAGACTTAGAAGCATGGTGACGCCTATAACACTGGCCATTTGGGAACAGGGCAGTCACCCTTCTGGAAAGGCTCTGGCCTTGAACTCTTCCGCCGATGGGCAGCTGCTGGGCCCATCCTCCGCTGCCCAGGGCCTACATACAGCTGCCCCACTCTGTTCATTTCTGACAGAGACTCAGCTTCTTCCTGAGCTCCCTTAAGGACTGAGACTCTCTAGACACTTCTTCCTCGGACTGGACCCTCTCCTCCAAACTACCAGAGTCCTGCTGTGTGCCCTGGAAGCTTTCCAACAGCTTCCTAACGGCTACTGATACCGCCGTGGCTTCCGTGTTTCTTCAGCAGACACTATTTGACCACACACATTCCAGAATGTCTTGAAGACAATACACTGAAACACACGGCACCTGGCTTCCTTAAGTGAGCAGCACAAAACAACCTCACAGACAAAACTCCTTCCCCTCGGTTTCCTCCCCTCCGAGCCACATCTTGCCCTTCTGCCTTCCCAGATAGGGTGACACAGTGCAACAGGCCTCACTACCCATGCTGTGCTCTCCGGTCCCTTGAAGTGTCTAGAACTGTGATCTGGGGGCATAGCTTGGAGGTAAAGCCACACACACACACATATACACACGCACACACACACACAATACATACACAATTAATTAATTAATTAATTAATTAAAATAAAATAAAAACCTTGCATTCATTATAAATTGCTTCTAAATTGCCCTGACTTTGTTACTGCGTCAGTACAGCATGGAATGGACTGACAAACGGTCTCAGGAGCCACTTTATATCACACACACCCCGCCCCCGCCCCAACGGGGAGATGTTCTGTAGCACACAGCAGACACTATAGTCTGTAGCATACAGCAGACAGTATAGTCTGTAGCATACAGCAGACACTATAGTCTGTAGCATACAGCAGACACTATAGTCTGTAGCACACAGCAGACAGTACAGGCAGATCACGGGCCACATGCTGAGCTTCCCAGCACAGCCCAGCACTCCGAGGTACTCACATCCTTCCCGGGGTCGCCAGGCCTTCCAGATATGCCATCGCTGCCTGGGAGCCCCTGATGTAGAAAAAAGCTATCATGAGAGTGTCACCTGCAGCTCCAGAGTGCGATGCCCAAGACCCTGGATGAGGGGTCTGTTCCCAGGGGAGGGCCTGTCTGTGGGAGGGCGGCATTTCCTGGTATTCCTGGGTCGGCACCACCTCCCTCAGGCCTTAGCTTCACCAGCACTTTCCGTCATATCTAAGGGGCGCCAACTTCTGCCCGAAGCAGCCCAGCTTGGGAGAGTTGCTTTGGTTCTGACTTCCTTCCCAGGCGCACAGGTGCCAACCTCAACCTCAAGGGACACTGCTGCTGCCTTGGGTGACTGGAGTGCTAAAGGCCTCATTCATGGGGTCTGCAGTTGGTAAGCCTTGAGAAACCTAAGCGTCGGATTTAGGCCCTAAGTACAGAAGGTTTCTGGGTGAGGAGCACTGTACCATGGGGCCAATGTCACCCGTCTCTCCTCTGGGTCCACTCTGCTGGCTGTCCCGTCCGGAGTCACCCTGAAAACAGCACAGGTTGGGAATGAGCCACAAGTGAGCGGAGCTGCTGACACTGGGACTGTCAGTGACAGCATGAAGGGAAGGCTCACAGACAGTCCTGCAAGCCACATTCCGTCTGCTAACACCCAGAGCCCAACCACGGCCCCCACAGGGTGGCCCAGGTCCTTCCCGAGGGAGGTGGACCTCGGCCTCACTGGCCACGGTCTACCGCGGCAGTGGATGGCCTGCACAGCAGACCATTTGCTCAAAGCGTTCAGAGCTGGAAGGCATAGGAAGCTACAGTGTATAGGTACTCCTTAACAAAAGCAGATTTAAAGGGTCCAGAGAGCATTCTGGGAAAGTCTCTTATGTCTTCCCAGGACATCTATGATGTGGCTTATAAATGGTTATGGGGACATTCTTTTAGATATATGTTTTTTTGAAACAGGGTCTCCCCCTAGCCTCAGCTAGCCTAGAACTCACTATGTAGATCAGGCTGGCCTTGAACCCACAAAGGTCTGCCCACCTCTGCCTCCCGAGTGCCGGGATTAAAAGAATGCACCACCACCACACCCAGCTTGAAAAATGCGTATTTCGTTTTGGAAAACAAAACATTTCCAATGACCCACTAAATTGTAAGAAAAGATAAAGTACATGCTATATGAACACACTTAAAAGCAATGTGTCGGAAGCTCAGCTTCTCCCAGAAGCCTCCTTCCCCGAAAGACCCGTAAGGAAATCGTCCTTACCGGGTCACCTCGAATCCCAACGTCTCCTCGCTCTCCCTTGTCTCCTTTGGGTCCTTTGTCACCCTAAAAGAATCATACAGTGGAGGTTAAAAACTAGAGATTTTTGGTGGACTATTTGCAGATTTTATAGGGAAGATTTGAAGTTTGCAACATGACACTATAAACGGCTGCCGTGGTGAAGGAAGGACAGTTCACCCGAGTCCGTTGCTTTATTTCTGTGGTAGAAGCAGAGAACTCTACTTATTTAGCCAGAATCTCTAATGAAGAACCCTTTATTACAATAGCCCTCGCGCTGTACGTAAGACTCCCAAACTGCTCAAGTTTTCGTTGTTCTATGGAAATCACATTCTTCATTTCATAAGTCTTAAAGAAATCTTTTGCTCATTTGACATGATAAAATCCACTTTTAAGATTAGCTTTTATTTTAAATTAAGTGTGTATGCATGTGTCTGCATGTGGGTTTGTGTACATGAGTATAGTCCTCTTAGACACCAAAAGAAGGTGTCAGATCCCCTGGAGCTGGAGTTAAAGGCCTTTGAGTTGACCCACATGGGTGAAGGGAACAGGCCTGGTTCCTCTGTAAGAGCAATATATGCTCCAAACCACCGAGCCATCTCTCTAACCCCTAAATCACTTCTAAATATTTCCAGTGTGCTTGGCTAATCCACAAATATTTATGGAGAACTCAGTCAGTGTCCAGCACTGGGGATTTATTTACAATAGAACAAACTCAGTCCCTGCCCTGTGGGACATGCTTTTCAACCAGGAAATACCACCCAGTGTGCTACAGCTGACATCACCCGGACATCTGCAACAACGTGGGGCAGGGAAAGCCAGGCAAAGAAAGCAACTGGTCCCTGGGGTGAGGGGTACACAAGGCAAGAGCACACCTACCCTCCTTCCGGGATTCCCCTTCTCCCCAGAAGAACCGGGCAACCCCTTGTCTCCCTGTGAAGACAAGGAAATTGGTCATGCTGGGATCTCACTGTTCCCACAGACGCATCTATCAGCAGCTGGGACCTCAGCACCTTGGAATACAAGTCACTTACCTCTTCACCATCCAGACCATCCAAGCCGATTTCTCCCAATTCACCCTGAGGGGAACGAGGCAGACAGAGTGAGCGGAGTTAACATTAATGGTCTTGAAAAAGGAAAGTGAAAAGCTCCAGGTGAGTTTTCAATTTAAAATGAAAAGGAAAAAAAGCTTGTATACCTTCTCTCCTGGGAAACCTCGCGATCCCTGGAAGGTGAGAGACAAGGGAAACGTGAGCTACACAGGGCCAGTCTCTCAGGACAGAAGCCAAGGGGTGCCATCACCCCCATCTGAATGCCCAATGTCTGAAGACTTGCTGCTAGATACGCATCTCTTTGGCTCCCTCCCCACCCCCCCAACCACCACCATGTGAGGGTCAGAAAGTAAATCTGCCTGGAGCTGAACAGGGGTGGTCTAGCTCCCTGGACAGGAAAGGTGACTTCAAAGACCAAAGGTCAGCCTTGCAGTATGCCAGCCCTTCCCTCCACTTCTGCCCTCAATGTCAGCAAACAGCCAGACCCTGGAATCACCACGCAGTTCATTTTTGCTCCTTCCTCCCTGGCTCCTCCCAGGGCCCAGAGTTCCAGGTGGCCTGGCCCAGCCAGCCTGCTGCACCCTCATGACTGGCTCCTGATTGCTAGATGTTTCCATAGGAAACTATTTCTCCACCTGGGCTCCCTTCCAGCTGTGGCTTGTGCTCTGAGCTCCTGACCCACCCAATGTGCAACCACTTTCAAAGAGAGGGCCTGGACGCTGGGCACTGAGAATGGAGGACCCCGACCTGCCATCGTCCCTCCCCAGGACGCTTGGAGAAGCGGTGTCACCCCTGCATGCAGAGCCCTCACTCCCCGACACCCCAACTCCATACTGTACCTTGACTCCTCTCTGGCCTGGACATCCCTGGAAGCCTTGTGTGCCGTTCACACCGGGTGGACCTCGCTCACCCTGTTGAAAAGCAAAGGCATTGCACAAGCTGGAGCCCCTGGTCCTGCATCTCTGTCAGCTCTGCCTCACAAGGAATGGCATGCAGCAGAAGGAAGACTTCACTGTGACCCGGCCACATGTGCCAAGACACTCAGTACACTGGCTTCTGACCAGGAAAGAACCCATGTGTCTGTGGAGGAAACGGGCTCTGGGTTGGTCTTAGCACCCATGGCGCTGTCTGGCAGGCTGAGGATGGGTGGCCCAGGTACCCAGTGTGTAGGTACTAGACCCCATACAAGTTCCATCTCCCTGATCACTCCTCAATAAGACCATGGTTACAGCTGTCCCATGGGCACAGGTTCAGCTCTGATACCCCCATCTAGGCTGGACACCTGAAGATCTCACCTACTCCCCCAGGAACCCCCTCATCCCCTACCCCAGAGCTGACCTTGTTCTAGGATCTCAAAGCCTCTCAGACTTGCCAGAGTGTTGCTGCATAATGGCTCAGGTTGACCTCAAACTCACTGCAGAGCCCAGGCTGGTCTCGAATTTGCGATCCTCCTGCCCTAGCCTCTCAAGCGTTGGGATTGCAGATGCCCACCACCACCCAGTTTCTGTTCATATATGTTCATAGAGAACACTGGACATACCATACTGGGTAGCCTGCTGTCTAACTCTCCTCTACTTTGAAACAGGCCAAGTCTTTGTGTGCAGCCACAAGTAGCTGTCATACTCAAAGAACCTCATAATTTTCCATAGCATAAACGTGTGAGGAGAGTGCTTAAGGAAGTTAGAAAATACTTTTTTCTCCTAACAAGAAAGCCAATGGCAACTGGACAGGTTACAACCTCCACAATTCAATCCCCATGTGAGAAAAATGGACGTGGGTAAGAACTTGAGGGGCAAGGCAGCCTTTACTTACGGGTCCACCTTCATCGCCAGGGTACCCTCGGTAGCCATCTTCCCCAGAGATACCCTGAAACAAAGCAAACGAGTTCCCGTGTCACCTGTGCTCTGCGTGGCGCACCTTGCAGTCCCTTCATTTGACAGAGCTGTGCTAAAGCTCACCATGGTTACAGTTGTCCCCCAGCACTAAGCAGCGTCGGCCACTCATTATTTCAATAATTATTATTTCTACTTGGAGAGCTGATGGGTTTCCTCCTTCAAGGCAAAAGCTAAGGACCCCGCTGATCTGCAGTCAGTGGCTTACAAGGATTTTCACATTGCTTTGTAAAATGGCGAACCCGTCTATTAAACAGCAGATTCTCATCCCATGGAGGAGGGGAGTGTGGTAGATGCTTGGGCTTCATGCACCACCAGTGAAACACATCTAGAGATGCAGCTCAGAAGTCTGCACCCTGGAGCCCAGGTATGACCATATGGCCAGAGCCCCCTCCCACCTCTACGCCATGGTATTGAAGAAGTCATTCAGGAAAAGCAGTGTTGGATCCTTCAGTCTAGCCTCAGGTATGAGATCTCAGAACGGCAGCCATACCTTTGGCCCAATGCTGCCAAGGGGCCCTCGGTCTCCCCTCTCTCCAGAACACTTGCAGGGAACCCCACAGCAAGCTTTCTCGGCAATGTTGTCCTACAAAAAAAAAAGATAAATATCAAGAATGCGCACCAGAAAAAACATTAATATGCTTATATCAGTCACAATCGGCTGCTCTAGGGAGACACAGTCACCAGGTCCCATTCTCTTAAAGGTCGGCCCTGGCTGAGGGCTCAACTCTCGGCAGTCAAAAGCCATCCATGGAAGCAAGGCATGGTGGTCCACACCTTTAATCCCAGCACTCGGGAGGCAGAGGCAGGTGGAGTTCTGTGAGTTCAAGGCCAGCCTGTTCTACATAGTGAGGTCCAGGCCAGCCCTACTACAGGAAGACCCTGTCTCAAAAAGACCAAAAAAAAAAAAAAAAAAGTCATCCATGGAAGAGAAAAGAGAAGCCAACTACCAATAGAACCTGTGAACTGCAGAAGAGTCACAAGCCTCGTTCAAGAAAGTCTTAAATCCCTTAAAGTGGCTAACTGGCCCTAAACCGGCAGCCTGGCCTTGCTCAGGCCTTACCAACTGGTCGCTCCCTGGACTGGGGGAGACGCTGTGGAGCCCACCTGAGTCCTTAGTGTTATAGATAACTCATCTGCCTGAGAAAATATCGTGGGAGAGAGACGCTCAAGGATGCCAGACCCTGGTACAGAGTCAGCCCTTGCAGTAGAATTCCTACGTAAGTGGAAACTGCCCCTCCCTTGGGGCTGAAGCCTGTTCTCCTCACACAGCTTCAGCCCTTCCCAGTGCTCCTTGAATGAAGGAGCACATTCCGTGCCTGTGGCAGGTCTGCCTTTGACTCTTATTCCTAAACTTTAAACTCCTTTCTTTTTCTGCCCTTCTAAATTTAACAACTACAATAAACCTCATCCACGATGTCCTAGATTGGGCTTTGTTTCTAGAAGTTCCAACACAGACATTCAAGTTCCACATTTTCAGCATAACTCCATGTGTACTAACCTTCAATGTAAAACCTAACACATTGCAACTGATTAGATTAAAGATGGTTCCAAGCTATAGCCCCACGGCTTGCCTTCCTCGGTACCATGGTCAGAGTCACTGAAACCAGCACCTGTCTGCAAGGCGTCCTGGAACTGCAGTGGGGTGGGCAGCATGAGGGGACCCCACCTCAGAGTCAAACCAACAAGACTGTGTGTCACCAATGCCTCTAAAGCCACCTGCCACCCCAGCAGTCCTTTCCCAGCCCCTGACTGTATGTGGCCAGCTGAACGTCCCAAACACATTTCCATCTGCTGAACTAACGCTCTTTCTTGCATGGAGCTTCCTAGAGCTTTCACTTTCTCCCGTGTATCAGGCCTGTCAGCTGATTCAAGCTTCTTCTACCCAATAAACACATGATGATCCTCCCCTCCTGGAAGAAGGTGGGGACGAGAAAGGGAACGAGTAGGTCCATCCCAACTAAGGGGGTTGCTTTTCTCAGTCACTCTGAGGAACTCTGAGCTCACCGCCTAGATCCTGCCTCCCAGCCCAGAAGGCAACTACTCCCACTGAGAGAAGAACCCGGAAGAGTAGACCATGAGAACAGCCTTCCAATCAGGAGTGGTCTTATGGGAAGAGCCCTCCAATCAGGAGTGGCCTTAGTCTTTCCTTTCCTGCTTATCTCTGTTTTAATCATATAAACCCTCAGATGTAGTAGCTGCCATTCCCTGTCTGGAGATGGGTCAGTCTCCGGGTTTTGTGTTCCAAGCAATCCTGTAAATGAAAAGACATTAAAAGTACATATGCAGGGCACAGCCCGAGGCTGCAGCCGGTGTCTGCAGACCGCTGTCCAGTTCGCCGTGTCTCCGTTTCTGGGACTCAAACCTGTCATGGTGATAAAACAAGTCCCAAGGGAATTAAAGTAATTCAATCCCACACCCAGACACTTTTGCCCATCATCAGGCCACCAAGATATATTTGGCTTCATTGTCTTGAGATGCCAAAAACCTAAATTTATTTGTGTGTAAAAATCTTAAAAACAAACAACTTACAAGCTGTTCTGCTAGCTCATAATCTAAGTCCAGCAAGTTAAGCCTCAGGGGTCTGCTGTACATGAATCCCCGCCCAAACTCCAGCTGCGTTAACTGCTCCAAGTTGTTCACATGCTCAAGGCCCACCAGGATGAGGGCTTGGACACCTGCAAAGAAAGAAACATTTCATATGCATCACCTAGACACTCCAGAGCCCGAATGTCACTTTTCCTGACTTGGGTTTGGTTTTGTTTAATATACATTTATTTCTTTTATACGTGTGTATTTACTAGCCACATGCTCATGTGGAGGTCAGAGGTCGACTTGAGGGAGTTGGTTCTCTACCTTCTACCATGTTGGTCCTGGGGATTGAACTTGGGTCATCAGGCTTGGCGGTAGGCACCTTTACCTGCTGAACCATCTTGCTGGCCCAGATTGTTTGCTTTTTTGGTGGTGCTGGGGATGAAACCCAGGGCCACATGCATGGTAAGCACATTTTTTACCACTGAGCTATATCCCCAAGATCTCCTCCCATTTTTAAAGAAAACTTCAAGATAAATTTGCTTTTCACTAAACATGTCTAATCAAACTGGCTTGCTTCTCTGGAGTTGAAACACTGCACTCCTGCTGGCAACCGGAGTGCCTGAGGCACATCACACACAGGTCTATTAACTCAGTCCCTACAGACCAGGTGTGCTGTGGGGACGACCGAAGTATCAACACATTCATTCAGGTCACAGCAGTGTCATCCCCACTTCTAAAAAAATAATAAGCTCATAAATAGAATAGGCCTAGATGGGGCTAGAGAGATGGCTCGGTGTTAAGAGCGCTTGCTGTTCTTGCAGAGGACACAGGTTTGGCTCCCAGCACCCGTAACTGGGCAGCTTATAACTGACTGTAACTCCAGCTCTAAGGAATACGACGCCCTCTTCTGGCCTCCAAGGGTGCCTGCCCTCACGTGCTGCACAGAAACTCATGCAGGCACACATACACACACTAAATAAATAAGCAGTAAAGTGCTGAAATAAGTTGCGTTTCCTTAACTTCTTCTTAAGCCCCCGCTTTGGCCTCCGCGTTTTGAAAGCTCTACCACCTCGCTAAGCAGTGCTCATCTGACCACAGGCACAGCTGCCCACCCAGCCGTGTTGTAAGTACTCTTGGTGAATGTGCTTACATGATTGATATAGCTATGTGTATAATAATTCAAGCAATTAATGTTTATTATGTTATATTAATTTAAATGTGTACATGTTGAGGTGTGAAATGAAGGGGTAACAATGGATTTCCATTCAGCTCATCCACTCCTAGGATCTACGGTAAAGTTGAAATAACCACTATTTAGTCTCTTTCACAAAAAAGCTTTGTGTCTTCCACATGTGCTACTGGGTGAACATGTCTTTGAACCTGCCAACCTGGGCCAGGACTTGGTATTAAAATTGTCCTGGCGGGGGGGGGGGGGGGGGGGCAGATGGCTCAGCAGTTAAGAGCACTGACTGCTCTTACAGAGGACCTGGGTTCGAATCCCAGCACCTACATGGCAGCTAACCACCATCCTAACTCCAGCTTTAGGGGATCCAACACTCCCTTCTGACCTCCAAGGGCATTGCACAACACAGGTGCACTTACATACATGAAGGCAATACACTGTAAATAAATAAATAAAATATTTAAAACTGCCCTGCTTCAGAAGGAACCTCAGCAGCCTCATTTCACAGCCCAAGCAGACAATGAAGGGCCAAAATGCAGGGAAGCGCCTCCCACAGCCCTTGCCCCAGGACTTCTGTCAGCGTTTTCTCTCAGTACAGCAGCAAGACTGCCACACTGGTCCTACTTCCCACACTCAGGAAGCCCAGAATCTACCTGCTTGCCTGAGTTCCTCAGATGCTCCGTGTAAGGCAGCCAGATCCCCATCCGCTCCGTCTGTGAAGTGGACTACCACCTGCAAGCAAAAAGGAGAGTCAAGGCCCACCCAGGCTGCCAGGGAGCAGCTCCGATGGCTGGAAGGGAGCGGAGGGGTCACGGCCGGATCGGACTCTTCACTTTACAGTTGGGAAGGCTGAAGGGCCGGGGCACTGTGCAATGTGTGTGTGGCAAAGAAGCATTAGCCTCTGACTGGATAAGAACAGCAAGCAACAGTGCCAATAGTAGAGGTTTGTCTCATGCTGTTCCTAGGTGACCCCTAAGCTAATCGACTGCTAGTATCTTCATATGAAAGGAGCTTGAGGGATGACCATATGAGGCCCAGAGAGAAGGTCACCATTTGAAAGTCAAGGAGAGAGGCCTCAGAGCAAACCAGCCCTGCCTGTCTCTTAACATTGGGCTTCCAGCCTCCTGAGCTGTGAGAAACAGATTCCTGTGATGTAAGCTGCTGTGCCTGCAGTATTTTGTTTGATAGCTTTAGCAAATGCCTACCAGCATGTGTGCATATGTGTGTGTGTGTGTGTGTGTGTGTGTGTGTGTGTGTGTGTGTGTACAGAGAGAAAATATAAGCCAACATCTTATTTAACAGGACTATAATTAAACATGAATTCATCACAAAGCCACCTCTTTCAAGTTTAATTACTAATTTCCAAGATGTTTTTCGGCCTAAAGTAAGGCTGGTAAGAGGAGAGAGGTAGCTCATGATGTTATAGTCACTTGAAAAGTGAGGAACTCTTCCCTCAAGGGCGCAAACAACCCCATTCCACATTCTGTGCTAGGTGCATGACAGTGACTTAAGACAGAGATACTGCCAAACTCCTGCTCCCTAGGGCTCTGGCCACTGCACAGGGAGCTCCGGACCCTGGCCTGCTCACCTTCACACTGTCAGGCAAGGACTGCCTGAACTTGTTCTGGTAGAGCTTTAGCGTGTCAGCCGTGAGGACATATGGGTGCTGCGTGCGCATGTTGCGGAACTTTTCAAAGAGCTCTGACCGGTACTCGGCAAAGTCAAAGGCTTCCACCGGCCCTGAGGGTGTGTTGGCCACCACTGACACTCTCACGGTGGGCAGCTGATTGCCACTACAGCTGATTCTTTGCATCTGGCTGATTCTGTCCAGGATGTCGCCCACCTTGGACTCCAGGCCCTTCTGGGTCTCAAATACATTCTGGCCTCTCGATCCATCAAACCCTAGGATCACGTCCAGATTACATGCTGGCAAGAAGAAATGCAGGTGATGAGAGTCAAACCAAGGTTACCAGGAGAATTCTCCTTACCAGTGACAGGCCCTGGGATGTGGGCCATGGCATCCTGCTCAAGAGAAAAAGAGATCTTCCGTGTGTGAGCTCTGAGAAGTAATTAGGCCTACCTCCCTCTTGGGGAGGATGGGGCTGCTGTTAGGAGTCAAAACCATGGGCCATTATAATACATGTTTGCTTTTTTGGAGGTGGTAATCATTTTGGCAAAATAACAGACATTTAGTATTTAAGTACATCTTGAATTTGTGTTTTAAATTAAAGGTATTTTATAACACAAATGTTCTCCCCTCAAGCAATAAACATAAAATCGCAAGAAGCAAGGTTGATGCAGATGGATCATAGGTTCCAAGCCAGCCTAAGCGCCACAGCAGATCATGTCTCAAAAAACTGTTTAGACAAGAGGAATAGGTCTGAACTATCATAGGACTATCAGGGGAAAAGTAAAGCGGAAAGACTTCTGTCCTTACCCAGGAATAACCTTCTACCGCAGCGGTTAGGTTAGCACCGGGGAGCAGCCCACATGGACATAAACAAAGATCTGAAGCAGCCACAAGCCTAAGGGACCCTCTTAGTGTTCCCCTTAGGGCATCATGAAGAGCACTCACAGCCTGGGCCGGGAAGGAGCGGAGGCCTGCACTTACCTTTGGAAACATCTGTCACGCCAGGGCAGAGGGTTTCGTGCATTGCATCGTGTAGCGTCTCCAGAACCGTCTCACTCAGCTCCGACAGCTCCTGCACGTTGCCCACCCGGAACGCCGTGGCACTGTTGGACGCGATCTTCCCCACCTCTTCAGAGTCGATGTTCCTCACGCCAACAGCAAACACCTTGACACCTTTCTGGGTGAGGGCCAGGCTCACATCCTGAGCATCCTCCACAGACTTCCCACCCGTGATCACAAAGGCGATCTGAGGGACCCTTTCATCCAGGCGGCTACCCGCCTCAGGCACAAAGTGATTCAGCCGCAGGTGCTCGATGCCCACCCTGGTGTTGGCATGCCTCCCTCCTTTGTACACCACTTTGTTGATGGCGTCAATAATCTGCCTCTTGGTAGAAAAGTCCCTCAGGAAGAATTCATCCGTGGGGTCTGAGTTATACTGAACCAACCCCACTCGAATGGAGTCACCATCTTCATAGACCGTGTCCACAATTTCAGAGGCGAAACGGAGCACTTCCTGGAAACTGTCCCTCCTGAAATTGATGGAACCGTCCAACAGGAACACAATGTCTGCCTTCTTCTTCTCTACAAGCCATCACAAGGAAGAGGAGGAGAGATTGGGTCTCCAAACTCAGAGAATGAATATACACAGTGCGAGTCAAAATTGAAAACTAAAGTACTTAATATTTTTACTAATTCATTCATAAGGAAAGCCTTCACTCTATCCCACACTTCTCTAGTTCCATCCTCCAGGCATCACACTGAAAGCTGAGAGATACATAATAAATCATCCAAACAAAAAGGAAAGGAGACTTGAGAACTCAGCAAACCAGTCCTGGTACCCTGTGAAGTCAACCACAAGCCACCATCATGCTGGGAGTTCAACAGGGGCCAGAAATTGGCTCTAGTCTCAGATATCTCAGAAGTGTCACTAGCCCTTATCCTGCTGGTCAAAGTAAAAGCCAGCAGGAGCGGGAGCGACGCATTAGGGCACGGGAAGGAAGGGCTGGGAGACAGAGTGAAATCGGAAGCAGACTCACACAATTTAGGAACAGTCTGAGAGCTTTCTGTGAACCTGCTGAAATCCAGTGACATGTGAGAAAAATTTCTTGGTTCTAGTCAACTAATGAGACCAGACCAAAAAGGAGGGAAAATCGGAGACAGCATGAGGGACGTGGGATGTGCCCCAATCAGCTCAGAAGGAGGCTGTGAAAGAGAAAACTCGCAACATGGATCCCTCAGGAACACCAGTCCTGCTGAGAGTGTTGAAGGTCTGCATGGCCATCACCAGGGAGGGCGAGGGAGGCGAAAGGGTACAGAGGAGTTCAGTTTGCTCATGGCAGCCCCATGGGTGAGAACCTGGGGCATGGGGAGGAGGTTGCAAATGGACAGTCCTGACAACCACGGCAGTCCAGACCACAGTGGGCCACCTACCACTGGGAATGACCTGACTTCAAAGTCATGTCCTGTGGGGCACAGACTGGCAGACTCCAATCAGTGAGTCAGTGAGTGTGATGCCTTGATATATCTATATAAAACCCATCAGTGGGGAGGGGGCTGGAGAGACGGCTCAGCGGTTAAGAACACTGTTCTTGCAGAAGACCCAGGTTCGAATCCCAGTACCCACATAGCAGCTAACAACTATCCATAACTCCAGTTACAGGGGATCCGATGGCCTCTTCTGACCTCCACGGGCATTCCACGACACAGGTACACTTACCTACATTCAGGCAATACATGCATACACATAAAAATAATAAATAAAATATTTTTTAAAACCTGTCAGTTTTAAAAAAAACTGTCAGTAGGCTTACAGTTAACCTCAAGAGAGATGGAGGACTGATCACCATGTGCTTTGGGGGTATAGTTCTCTCTACAACTTGAACTGAACTATTTTTCTAATATTTAATATCCACATAAATAAGCCTGAGAGAAGAAAATTACTACAAAGAAAACTAGCTTTCGTTTCCATTAAAACAGTCGGCACAACACTGCAGTCACGCATCACAAAGCCTGTACCTGGCTGGGAAGGAGAAGGTCTGTCTACTCCTGAAGGCGCAGGAGTAGCCCCAGGGGATCCAAATGAGATCATGACCCTCTCCTCTATGTTGGGCAGGTCTCGGAATTCTCGCACCGTGAAGACCAGTCTGGGGTTGTTGGTGATGGTCTGCAACTCCGTCCTGTCGATGTTACGGTCTCCAATTCCTAAACTTGCTATCCCTGAGGAACTTATGATCTGGGCATACCTAGAAATGTCATCCTGAGACTTTCCACCCAGAAATAAGACCAGGTGTTGAGGCACCCCATCTTCTATCCGGCTCCCAGCAGACTTTACAAAGAGGTTTTTTGCCACAAACTCCAGAGCTTTGCCAGTGTTGAGGGGGGACCCTCCTCTGAACCTCAGACGCCGTATGGCTTCAAGTACAGGGGCCTGAGACTTGTGGGTCTTCAGGTAGAATTCAGGGAAGACCTCATTGCTGAACTGCACAACCCCAATCCTCACTTTACTGGGGCCGATGTTGAGTCTGCGAACAATCTTGCTGACAAAGTCCCGAATATGAGCAATGCCATCAGGCCTAATGCTATCAGAGCTGTCGATCAGAAAGACAATGTCAGCCGCATCACTCTCAGCCACTGCAGAAAGAAGAAAAAGAGGAAGGTCAGTCCACGCAGGCCACCGGGGCGGGGGGGGATCTACCACTGTTGCTTCTGGACCAACACTGAAGTTATAACCCAATCTGGGCATTAACCCAATCTGGGCATTATCTCTTGGGTTTGGGAATCATACTCATTGAAAGCTCGGTTTTCAGGGCTGGAGAGATGGCTCAGCAGTTAAGAACACTGGCTGTTCTTGCAGAAGACCCACGTTCGAATCCCAGCACCCACATGGCAGCTAACACCTGTCCGTACTCCAGTTCCAAGGGATCCGACAGCCTCCTCTGTCCTCCACAGGCATTGTACGACATGGGTGCACTTACCTACACACGGGCAATACAGGCATACACATATAATAAAAATAAATAAAAAATAAAAAGAAATTTTTAAAAATTGGGTTTTCTAGGGTAGTAAGACGGCTTGGCAGGTAAAAGTACTTACTATGCATGCCTGACAACCTGAGTTCAGTCCCCAGACCACAGTAGAAGGAGAGAACAGACTCCTGAGAGTCGACCTCACACATTCCACAGCAGGTGTGCACCCATTCATACACACACATACACACACACACACACACACACACACACACACACATACACACACACATTTAAACCAAAGATTCAGTAAGGTAATTCCCAGTTCTTCAAGTATTTTCTTTTCCAAGACTTTAATTCTCTAGATCAACTTTATTTTCATTTTTGGCTTTGTGGCCTGATCATTATCAATTTTAAAGAAAGGAGCATTCAGAAAGAGATCCTGGCACCAAGATCACTGGGGTCAACATCTTTGATGTATGAAAATAGAGAGACAGATGATGTCAGCTGTTATCATTTGGCCACAGCCCCAACTCCACCCATGGGAGCAAGGTTCCCATAATGCAATATTGTATTATGTATAATGCAATATTGTATGTTAACTCTCCCCGCATACTGGCTTCCTTGTATTTCTTTTGACCACATATCTGTAGAGTTCATACAATATTTGTTTATCATTATTTTCTTCATTTCTTCACGAGTTGGTTTGTAACTATAGACTGAGCGTCCATAATCCAAAACTGCCGAATTCCAAATATCCCAAAACTCAAACCTTTCTGAAAACTGACATTTTGCTACAAGTGGGAAACTCCTTGCTGTGAAATCTCACTCCACACAGTTTTCTTTCTAATTGCATAAGCTTACACGTGGACAACATGCATGAGGTTTCTAAGAAACATGAGTGATTTCACATCTAGGTTTGGGTTCCATCCCCATGGGAATTCATTATGAATCTGCAGATATTCCAAAATAGAAATAAACCCAAAATCCAGAACAATTTTAGTCCCAAACATTTTGAATAAAAGATATTCAACTTGTCTAAAATTAGTCAAAATATCTTGGGATAGATGAACCACATTTTCCTGTTAGAACTCTAGATGTTTCTCAGATGCCTTTAGACTAAACTAATAGGTTGCTACTCAATGAAGTCCAACCCGGTTTTGGCCTCAATGTTGGGCTTTTATAGGGGAACCTCTACACAGTGAAAGTTGAGTAGCTTATGGAATGGAGCCATTTACTGAGAAAGAGAAGAGCAGGCCCCACCGGAGAGCAGACCCCACTGGAGAGCAGGCCCCACTGGAGAGCAGACCCCACTGGAGAGCAGGCCCCACTGGAGAGCAGACCCCACTGGAGAACAGGCCCCACTGGAGAACAGGCCCCACCGGAGAGCAGATTTGGCCTCAATGTTGGGCTTTTATAGGGGAACCTCTACACAGTGAAAGTTGAGTAGCTTATGGAATGGAGCCATTTACTGAGAAAGAGAAGAGCAGGCCCCACTGGAGAGCAGACCCCACTGGAGAGCAGGCCCCACTGGAGAGCAGACCCCACCGGAGAGCAGACCCCACTGGAGAACAGGCCCCACCGGAGAGCAGACCCCACCGGAGAGCAGACCCCACTGGAGAGCAGGCCCCACTGGAGAACAGGCCCCACTGGAGAGCAGGCCGAGAACACAGCCTTGGAGCTCCTGTGAACACAAACCCACAAGAGGTCAGCATCAGGCAGGCCTGACTGTGAAGGAGTGAGACAGCGATGGGAACACTCTGTAACCGTATCTGAGCACAAAGAAAGATACAAGGACCGCCACAGGCCCTCCCTAGTCTACTGAAGAGGAGGGGTGGTGTTGCTTTCCAGCCTTTCTGAAGGCCTTCCTCCTTCTAGATAAGACTGATCACAAAAGCCAACTACAGAATTACCCCTGCTTTTGTGGAGCACCCAATCCAGGCAGAAGTTCCTTCCTGAGCTGTCCAGGGAATTACAGGCTATAGGCTCAGACCCCAAGCATCCTTCACCTCCTTCTTACTGAGCTGCCCCATGCCCCTGTGCCACACTGACGGGCAAAGCCGCTTTGCTCACAGGTGTGACCTGGTGGTCTCAGGCTGGTGGGCACTGGCTCCTTGAAGGCAGGAGCATCGCCTCTACAGTAAATTAGCTCATCACCTGTAGCATGGCTTTGAGTCTGGTATTTTTAATATCAAAAATACTGTGGGAGCCAGGCATGGTGGTGCACTCCTTTAATCCTAGCACTCAGGAGGCAGAGGCAGGAGGATCTCTGTGAGATCTAGGCCAACCTGGTCTTCATAGCGAGTTCCAGGCCAGCTGGGGCTACAGGGAGACCCTGTCTCAAAAAGATAAATACTGTGGGATATGTACCACATTCTCTTCATCCATTCCTCTGTTGTTGAACATGTGTTGGTTCCATAACTCAACCACTGTAAATAGTGTTGCCATAAACATTGATGTGCAAGTATCTCTTTGATATGTGGATCTGGAGTCCTTCAAATAAATGCCCAGGAGTGGTATAACTGGATCACATGATAGACCTATTTTCAGTTTTTTGAGAAACCTTCACATTGTCATTCAGAGTGGCTAGCTAATTTACATTCCCACCAGCAGTGGTGGGGCGGGTCCCTTTGGTCCACATCCTCACCAGCATTTGTTATCACTTATTTCTCAGTATTTGCCTCCGTGGCTGATGCAAAAATGGAATCTCAAGAAATTGTGGTTTATATTCACAGTCGAAATTTTTTCACCCGTAAAGAAAAAGTTGTGTCCTTTGCAGGAAAATGGATGCACTTGGAGATCATTACATTAAGCAAATTAAGCCAGCCTCAGAAAGACAAACATTAGAAGTCACATTCGTGACTTCTAAATTTTATGTAGATACTTAAAATCATGTGTGCATATAAGAACTGAAAGTGCCGGGCTGGAGAAATGGTCCGGTGGTGAGGAGCACCGGCTGCTCCCGCAGAGGATCCCGGCCGATTCCCGGCACCCTGTGGCAGCTCACAACCATCCTAACTCCAGTTCCAGGCGCTCCAACACCCTCCCCTGAGTTCCGCGTGCATTGTGCGAGAAGGACGCACGTACATCCATGCAGGGAATACACGCATACGATTAAAACAGAAATGGTAAATAAAACATTTTGTCAAGGACATGGAAGCAGAAGCTGAGCTGTCTAGGGGAACAGAGGGGAGTGGGCGGTAAGAAAAGGGGGATCGTGGGGAATGCGCTCATTCCACAACATAAACTTGTAAGAAAACGTGGGGACGCGCTGAAAGTCTCCCTCCCGGGGCTCTTACCCGCAGGGGGGAACCGGGTGCCGGCCAGGATCTGCTGGATCTGCTGGGAGCTGAGGGTGGTGATGGGCGTCAGCAGCTTCTGCTCCAGTCCGGGCAGCTCCCTGAAGGTGCTCACCGAGAACACGTACTCGGGGCTCAGGGCGATCTTGCCCAGCTCCTCCCGGTCCGTGTGCCTGGCCACGGTGAGGGGGGCCACGCCGAACTGCTTGAGCTCCACGGCCGCGTCGTCCACGTCGTCGTCGGACTTCCCGGAGGCCAGGAGGACCAGGAACTGCGGGACGCCGTCCTCCACGCGGCTGCCCAGCGGCCTCCGGAAGATGTTCCTCAGCACGTACTCCAGCGCGGTGCCCACGCGGACCTGCCGCCCGCCCTGGGGCCGCAGGCGGCGCACGGCGCTCCGGACCTCGTCTCTGCTGAAGTGCGCGTTCAGGGGAAACTCCATCTTGGGGTCCTCGCCGAACTGGATGACGGCCACGCGGGTGGTGTCAAAGCCTACGTCCAGATGCTCCACCAGCCTCTCGATCAGGGCGCGGATGTGCTGGAACTCGGGGCTGGCGTTCAGGGACCCATCGATGAGGAACACCACGTCCTTCTTGTCACCAGCACCTGCGGGCGAGACCGGACCGGCCTTCGGTTTCAAGGGCTCCCAGGCGCTTCCCGGGGTGGCGCGGAGGCTCTGCTGCTGAGACAGAGATCCTCCCACCGTCACTGCGGTTAAAGAACCAGCCCAGGGCCCGCGTCCTGTGCGTTTCAGACTCTCCGTGTCAGAGAGAAGAGGAAGAACCAGCAGGGACGAGGAAGGGCGAGCCCGAGGGAGGCGGACCTAAAGGCGCCATCCACCTGCGCCAGATGGGCATGGTGCTGCGGGAGGGGCTCGCCAGTGATGGCGAGAGTAAGATGGCGCGTGAGAATCAAGTCGCTGGTTCTGCCCAGAGGCAGGGCCTTGGACAAGAACACTTTCTGAGGAAGGGCAAGGGTAAGCAGTGTGTCGGTGCGTCTCACAGCGGACAGAAGGACAGGCACCGCACAATGCGCAGATGAGTCTTTCTAAAGGAGCGGCACTGCTGGAGGACAGGGCGGCCCTAGGGGGCTGCCATGAGCAACATGTTCATCACAAGAAGACAACACATGCGGGGCAGTGGAGAATGGATGGTGGAGCAGAGACAACCAAAGCGCTGGAGATGCACCCAGCAGGGACAAGGAGGCGGAAGAGGCCGTTGGAGAAGCAAGATGGCGCTGAGGTTTGGACACCATCACAGACGGAGCAAGCAGAACCCCTAGACCTGCTCTTTGACTTCTTTGTGATTTCTTAGGGAGGCGGGACTCGGGGTCTCCAACTCAGAGCAAGCCAAAGGCAGAGAGCTGCGGAGGATGCAGGACCCGAAGAAGCCAGGGGCGGAGAGCTGCAAGCAAGGATGCAGGATGGGAAGAAGGGAGAGGAGGAAATGGCTATTCTGAAGTGTGGGAGAATGAGGGGACCAGGAGCCAAGTCACTGTGGGAGTGGAGATGTGGCTTTAACACAGGGGAGATGCTCTGCACGCATGGGAACACTGGGGCCTTGAGGTCCATCATCACAGACACTTCTGTGGTCAAGCGGGGTTGGAAATGCCGCCTTCCCTTTTGGTGTCCGTTGATGGGAGAGAGGAGAGGGGTAGGGGGAGAATTGCTTTTCCAAAAGCCTATGGTTGTGAACTTTTTAAACAGTACAGTCCATGTAAGTATGCAGGGAAAACTACTCTGTTCTGAGCACCAGAGAGGAGAAGCTGGTCCCTTCTGACCTCACCCTCACTATGCACAGGGTGCACGTCCTGCCTCACTTTCTTTTACACGCACACTCCAGCCCTCCTTTCCCAACCTCTACCTGTCCTCCATTTTCCCTTCTCATGTCATGAGACCACGAGGATGTAGCTCCTCTGCTTTCAGCCCTGTGACGACCATGCCTGAGTGCCCGGTGGCCCTGGGCTAGCATCCACTGGTAAGTGCATCTTAGCTTCTCCCCTTTCCAGATTCCAGGGCTCAGACCTTGTTCAGACTTACTGCTCATGAGAACCAGAAGGCCTTCCCACACACTTAGGTGCAAATATTTCAGACACCCCTCAACAGAGCCAAGGCCCTATGGTCAGGCTCCTGGTGGCAGAAAGTTGCCGTTTCCAGAGGCCACTTACACTCAACAAAGCTCACCCTCCTTTTGAGAGACTGTATCTGAGCCACAGGCATGCCCTCCTAGATGCTGTAATTTGGCCAAGAACATGAATCTTAGCACCACCACTTAGCATCTCGAGTTTTCATGCAGTCTACGTGGTGGAGGAAGCAAGATTGGAAATGTGTTTGCAGCACAGGCTAAGCAAGTAGCCAAGAGGATTACAAGGAAGTGCCTAACAAATCCTCTCACCTGGACTGGGTGAGGGCAGAAAAATCGGCTTCAACCTGCTCAGCTCCTCGCGGCTAAGCTGGGTCACCCGCTCAGAGATGACCTGCTGGACGGTGCCTAGCTCCCGGAAGGTAGGGATGGCCACGGCAAAGTCCGGGATGAAGGAGATGGTCTGCATCTCTGAGATGTCGGCGTTCCCAATGCCAATGCCAATAGGCACCGCCCCACCCTGCTTCAGGACCACCGAGGGGCCTCTCACATCATCTCCCGACCGCTCGGCCGTGAGCACGATCAGGAGCTGGGGGACACCTTCTGCCATCCTGCTCCCAGCGGAGCTAGTCAGAATGCTCTTCAGCACAAAGTTCAGTGCGGCTCCTGTGTTGGGGGTTGATCCACCCAGCAGCGTCAGCCTACGGATGGCACTGATGACACCCTGCTGGTCCATGTGGGAATTCAGGTAGAACTCGGGCCTGGTCCGGTCACTGTACTGCACCACGGCTACACGCACCCGATCGGGACCCACGTCCAGGCTCTCCACCACTCTCTGCATAAACTCCTGCAGCAAGGGGAAGCCACTCCGGACACCATCAGAGCCGTCAATCAGAAAAACCACATCCTTTTCACCTGAAACTGAAGAAGACACCTGTGACTCACACGGGACTCCGCGGTGACAGCAGCACACCACTATGGCAGATGGGGTGGCGGCTGCTCAGGAAAGGCCAACTCCAAATCCTTGAATTTGTGAAAATGGATTTGCAGAGTAAGTGAAGGTTTGAAGATGGAGAGCATCCTGCACCACCCACATGGGCCCAAGATCATTACATTACAAATGTCCTTATAAGAGTCAGTCAATAAAGAGAAAGGAGAGAGAGAGAACAGACAAAGAGAGAGACAGAGAGAGAAAAGTAAAGAAAGAGAGGGGGTGGGGGGACAGAGGTCAGGGACAAGGGAGGGCAGCACTCTGCATGCCTGGAAGGTAGAGGAGGATCCAGGAGCAGCGAAATGCAGGTGATCTCAGCGAATCCGAAATGTGAGGAACTTCACCAGAGAAGACCGCTCAGACAGAGTTTTGCCAAATGAAAGTCTTTTACTAGCTTGCCAGCAACTACACAAGGGTGTTGAAACTCAAGCGCAGCCCTGAGCCATAACCAGGGATGAAATGTTTACGTTCCCAAGCTTACAAGTGGAAAGCCCCCTTAACAATTTCTATTATATTAAAAAATTACTATTTTGCAGAAGCAAGCCAAGCATAACCTACAGCAGTCATAGATCTTCAGTTAGCCGGTGCTCTCCAGGGCACACTGACCTGGTCCCAAGACAACTGGGGTCCTGCTGATGTGTTTCCAATACCCTGGGCCAACTGCCTGATAATTTCAGACACTAGAGTTAGCCTCAACTTTAACACGGCATAGCTATGGTCAAGAAGGTGCCATATCACAGTAAGGAAATGGATCATCTCCCAGGCCATCTAGATAGAAGGTAACCTGCCCAGCTGACACTGTGACTTTAGCCCAGGGAGGCTGGTCTCTCCCGATTCCTGACCTCCAAATCTGTCAGGAACAAATGCATTTTCTTACAAACCATGACATATGCAGTGTGAAGGGTTGTAGCAGCAATGGGAAATGAACACACAAACACAGACAGACCTTTTGTTCTAGAACTTTCCCACATTAAGCAAAATTTCAGGGCTGAGCCCGGTGGTATACACCTCTAATCCCAGCTCTCAGGAGGCAGTGGCAGGGAGGCAGAGACAGGCAGATCTCTGTGAGTTCTAGGCCAGCTTGGTCTATATAGTAAGGGCCAAGCCAGCCAGGGTTACATAGTAAGATACTCTCTAGATAGATAGATAGATGATAGATATAGATAGATAGATAGATAGATAGATAGATAGATAGATAGATAGATAGATAGATAGATAGATAGATAGATAGATAGATAGATAGATAGATAGATAGATAGATAGATAGATAGATAGATAGATAGATAGATAGATAGATAGATAGATAGATAGATAGATAGATAGATAGATAGATAGATAGATAGATAGATAGATAGATAGATAGATAGATAGATAGATAGATAGATAGATAGATAGATAGATAGATAGATAGATAGATAGATAGATAGATAGATAGATAGATAGATAGATAGATAGATAGATAGATAG